GCATCGCCGGGTGTGACCCAAAAAGCAAAAAAAAAAAAAAATTTACTGGTCCTGGTCTTTTTGGTTTTTGGTTTTGGGGGGTCGTGTTTGGGGAATCTAGCTTGGACCTCCTGCATGCAAAATCTGTGCTCAGCTCTTTGGAAAGGCCCCAAATGCTGACCTTTTAATATAAAATCATGTCTGTGTAGGGTTTGTGTGTACCATACACAGGCCCAAATAGCTGTGTTGTGCTTATCTATAACTGATAGCTCTTTCTGTGGGGGAGGGGAAGTTCCCCCCCAAGAGGGGGAAGTGACAGCTGGTGCTTGGGGGTCACTCCCAGCAGGCTGTGTTTAGTGGTGCCAGGATCAAACCCTGGGCTCCAGTGTGCGGATGACATTCAGCCTTTGGATATCTCTCTGGCCCCTCGCTTCTCTTTTTTCACCAATATTTCATAATCTTTTCCCTCTCCAATACTGCTTAAGAAATTTTGGGAAGAGGCCGGAGTGATTGTACAGCAGATAGGGCGCTCGCCTTGCATGTGGCCGACTCAGGTTCGATCCCTGGCATCCCGTATGGTCGCCTGAGCCAGGCGTAAGCCCTGAGCATTGCCGGGCATGGTCCGAAAACCAGACAGCGACACGAAGCATGCTCTCAGGCTCTGGGGCGCTCTCTCCCGCCCTTGACCCTGCTTTTGATCTGGACTTCCTCCTGGTGCTTGTGGTAAAGCGTTGCTCTGGCCTTGCACGGGCCTAGAGCCTTCTGAGCAGTCAGTAAGCGTCAGCTCTGACTCGTGTTGCCTAAGAGCAGCCAGCCTCAGCATCTGACTGGACTTTGTTATTTGTGAAAACTGCAAAGATCGGGGCATTAACCTCCCGGAAGTTTCCTTTCTGCCCCAACTAGCCATTCCTCAGACCTTTATTTTTATTTTTATTTATTTTTGCTTTTTGGGTCACACCCGGCAATGCACAGGGGTTACTCCTGGCTCATGCACTCAGGAATTACTCCTGGCGGTGCTCGGGGGACCAGTGGGATGCTGGGAATCAAACCCAGGTTGGCAGCGCGCAAGGCAAACGCCCTGCCCACTGTACCCACCCCAGCCCCTCCTCAGACCTTTATGTCTTCCTAACTTGCTGCCTTCAGCAAGAGAAATAAATTGTTGCTGTTCTTTCAGCCAATCCACAGAGAAAAGGGGGTCACAGAGAAGCAATAACTCATAGAAAACTTTTCTTCGTGGAAAGCAAATCTTTGGGGGCCTGGAGAGAGAGGACAGCACGCCGGGCTCTTGCCTCGCCCACGAAGATGCCTAGGTTTCATTCCCAGCACTCCAGATGCTCCCCAAGCCCTGCCAGGAGTGATCCCTGAGTGCAGAGCCAGGAGTAAGCTCGGAGCACTGCCAGACATGGCCCCCAAACAAAAAAATAAAAGAAAAATAAGAAAGAAAGAAAAGCAAGCAAATCCTTGGGCTGGAGAGAGAGAGTTGGGAGATTAAGGAACATATGTTGTATGCACTGGCCTTGGTTTGGTCCCCAGTACCACAAGCATCACCAGGGCAGGAGTGACCCCTGCCACAGATCCTGGGGGTTGCCCCCACCAAAAAAAAAAAAAAGAAAAGAAAATTCTCAGGAAAGGCTGGAGCGATAACACAATGGGTAGGGCGTTTGCCTTGCACACGGCTGACCCAGGTTCATTCCTCCGCATCCCATAGGGTCCCCCAGCACCGCCAGGAGTAATTCCTGAGTGAAGAGCCAGGAGTAATCCCTGAGCATCGCTGGGTGAGACCCAAAAAACAAACAAACAAAAGAAAAGAAAATTCTCAAGAATCCCCAGATGCTAAGGCCTTTGTCAAAGCTTCTCGCCCGGGAGCAAGGACCGTGAAGAGTGGGACACTGGCGTTTCTCACTGCAACCTCAGTGGCGGCTGATTCTCTGAGAAAGAGGAAAAGGGTGGCCTCCACCCAGAGGTGCTCAGGCACCAGCCCTGGCGAGCTCAGAGGGCCCTGGAGAGTGCCAGGGATTTAACCTGCGTCTGTTAGATACGTGCAACTGCCCTGCCCCCCTGTACTAACACTCTGGCCCCCTATTCCTGTAAGATTAGTGACATTTTTTTTTACTTTTTATATTTTTGGGGGGAAATCACTCCGAGCTATACTTGGGGACCACCAGGCCTCTGCACCAAAGCCACATCCCTGGCCCCTAGGCAAATCTGTTTCTCTGTTTTCTATTTTTTTCTTTTCATTTTGGGTCCACCCGGCAGTGTTCAGGGGTTACTCTGGCTCTGCACTCAGGAGTTACCTCTGACGGTGTTCCCGGGGACCATATGGGATGCCGGGACCGAACCCTGGTCAGCTACGTGCAAGGCAAACACCCTCCCCACTGTATCGCTCCAGCCCTTTTTAACTTTGGACTCTCTCCAGCTCGGGGCTCAGGAGACCACGTGATGTCAGGGACGAACTCAGGCTCCTGCGTACAAAGCATGTGCGTTAGGCCCCGAGCCTTGAGCGGGCTCCTCCCTCGCAGATAAACCTTATCTAGAAAGCAAATTTAGAGGAAAAAAGTCAATCCAGAGAAGCTGTAGAGACAGCACAGGGGGCAGGGTGCTTGCCTTGCACCGCTGAGCGGGGTTTGTTCCTCAGCATCACGGATGGTCCCCTGGACGCTATCAGGAGTGATCCCTGAGCTCAGGTCTCTGCCAGGTGTGGCTTCCTCACCTAAATAAATAAAACGAAAGCAAGCCCATGCCAAAGAGAAATGGGTCCACTCCCTAGGATTCTCAGATCATTGTTTAGACTGTGGGTTTTTTTGTTTGTTTGTTTGTTTGTTTAGACTGTGTTTGACAGAGTTGGCTTGAGGACTGAAGATGCAGAACAAAGATTACGGCCCTGCCCTGCTATGATCCTGGCACCCCCAGGTGTGGCCCTGAGCAGCAGCTGGGTGTGACCCAGAAACAAGAGGCAGGAGGGAGGAGCAGGCAGGCTTGCGATCTTGAGATCCAGAGAGAAGAGGAGGTTTTGTTTTTATTTTTGATTTGCTTTTTGGGTCACACCGGGTAATGAGCAGGGGTTACTTCTGGCTCATGCACTCAGGAATTACTCCTGGCGGTGTTCAGGAGACCATATGGGATGCTGGGAATCGGGCCCGGGTCAGCCGCGTGCAAGGCAAACGCCCTCTCCGCTGTGCTGTCGCTCCAGCCCCAAGATGAGGAGGTATTGGAAAATGTCAGCCTACCCACCATACTTTTCAAATAAGAGGAGGCTCTCACAGAGCATCGATCCAGTGGGAACTGAGACAGTGCAGGGGCAGAGGTGCTGGCCGGCCATGCAGCCGGTCCACCTGAATTCCTGAGACCATGGATGGTCCCCTGAGCACCATCAGGAATGATCCCTGAGCACAGAGCCAGAAGAAAAGCCTGAACACCATGAGGGCGCCCCACCCCCGCACCCCAACATCTTAAAGGGAAAAAAAATATCGGTCTAACAGTGGAAATTCTCCAATACTAGAAAAATGGGAAGTTTTGTTTGGGTGCCTCGCCCAGCAGCACCGGCTGATGGGTAAGTGTAAAGGGCATATAAATTGGTTATATTGGCCATTAAAATTGGGGGTGAGGCCTAGGGACGTAGTACAGGGACAAGCACTTATTTTACAAGCATGCGGCCCCAGGTCAGTCCTCAACACCACCAGGGGTCACTCCTGAGCACAGAGCTAGGAATAGACCCTAGGCACCCTATGGTGTGACCCCCAAACAAAACAAACATACAAAAAGCAAAGAAAAAAAAAACTGCCAGAGAGAAACACTGGCAGATTCTACAGGGCGCTGAGTGGCTGCGCCCACACTAGGCTATTTCAGAAAAGGTAAAATTCCAGCTACCTTGGATGGGGAGAGGGATTCCGTGGAATATGATTAGCAAGCCGGAAATTCTCCTGGGACTGAACCTGCCACTTGTCCTTTCTCGAGCTCTTGGTAATCCAGCAGCCCAAAGAACAGAATTGTCCTCCTGTAAGGGCATTTCCCCGTGAGCTGGTTAAACGCTTGATGGACTTTGTAATCACAGTAGCTCGGGGAGAAAGGAAGGGCCAGCAGGGCCTGAATCTCCTGTGCGTGCACCGTGTCTGTAAGAATCTGCTCCTCTTGCTTCTCGTTTCCTACCCTTTGATTATTCCCCTGTTCGACCCCTCTCCCACCTTTTGTTTGTCTTGGGTCCCACCTAGCTGTGTTCAGGGCTCTCTCCTGCCTCTGCTCCGGGATTGGTTCTTGGGGGACCACATGTGGTGCCAAGGATAGAACCCGAGTTGGGGGTGCAAGACAAGCATCTCACCCCGTGTTCTCTCTCCAGACCCCTCGCCCGCTTTTATCATCAACAGAGTCAGTGGGGCTGGAGCCAGAGTACAATGGGGGGGGCTTGGCTTCCAGCTGACCCAGGTTCAATCCCCTGCCGGGAGTGATCCTTGAGCACCCCCAGGTGTGGCCCAAAAGAAAGAAACAAGCAAAAAACCTGGGGTTAAGCTTGAGCACCTCTGGGTGTGAACTGGAAAATAAAAACAGGATCACGTTTGTTTTAACTGGGGGGCACACCCAGCTGTCCGTGGCTGACCATTCCGGCCGGGCTTAGGGGATCATACGTGGTACGGGGGATCGAGCCTGGGCTGGTGCCTGCGAGAGCCCTACCCTCCGTCTCTCTGGCCTAGGGACTATTAATGGGGGGCTGGGCCCCAGCCGGCTGTGCCCCCGGCTTACTGTTGGTAGGGCTGGGGGACCAAACGCACTTCCAGGGCTGGAACCAGGTCGGCCTGCCGTGCGCGGCGCTCCTATCTGGCCCTGCAGCGGGGCCAAGCAAGCCCCCGTCCTCCTGGGCTTATTCCAGACGACGTGAATGCTGACGTGCTTATCTCCCCCCCACCCCTTTGTCCACGCAGGTGAGGTCCTCCTAGGAAAGCACCTCTGGACTCTTGCAGCAGCAGCATCTCAGGCCGTGCTTCGGGACCAGCCGCAGGCAGAGCAGCCTCCCGCAGACCCAGGCACAGCAGGGATGGCCCTCACTGTCAGGAAGAGAGACAGCAAGAGCCAGGACTTCTCACTCCGGGTCGGTAAAAGGGAGAACGAGAAGGAAGAGCGCTTCGAAGACGCCTTCGAGGTCATCCCCGCCGCGTCCACCATGAGCCTGCTCTCCTCCCTGGAGGAATGCACCACGGGCCTCTACTTATTTCTCAACAACAGGTTCTCGGAGGCCTTAAGCCTCATCTCCCCGTGGTCCAAAAGCAGCCTGTACCACGCGCTCATGTACGGCATCCTGATGGTGGTCAAGTCCGCCCTGACACTGGACCCGCAGGACATCGAGGCCGGCAGCATGGCCGCGAAGGACGCCCTGAGGACCTGCTACAATTTCCGCAGGAAGTCGTGGGTGAGCTTCTACCGGCTGGTGAAAAGGCAGGGCTCGCAGACCATCCAGGAGGAGGAGCTGCACGCGGACGTCTGCTACGCCGAGAGCCTCATCCTGAAGGCGGCCGTCACCTTCATCCAGGACGACAGCGTGCTCGGCTACCTCCGCAGCGGGCTGGCCATCAGCTCCAGCTACCAGATCTACAAAGACTGTCAGCAGATCCTGCCCCAAATCCCCAGCAGCCAGAGCAAAACCTACAAGCACCTGGTGGGCGGCATCAAGTTTGGGGTGGGCGTGTTCAATCTGCTCATGTCCCACGTGCCTCCCAAGACGCTGAAGCTGCTCAACGTGGTGGGCTACTCCGGGAACAGGGAGGTGGGCTTGACTCTGCTCTGCGAGAGCGCCTCCGAGTCCCACATCAACAGCATCCTGAGCGCGCTGATGCTGCTCTTCTACCACGGCTACCTCTGCGTGGCCTTCGGGATGGGCCAGGTCTCCAGCTCCGGGGCCGAGCGCCTCCTCGTCCTCCACAGCCAGCGGTTCCCCCACTGTGTCATCCTGAAGTTCTTCCACGCCCGCTTCTGCATGCTCGCCGGGGACTTCGCGGAGGCGCAGCTCAAGCTGCACGAGTGCGTGTTCGTCCAGAGCGAGTGGAAGCACGTCCACCACCTCTGCTACTGGGAGCTCATGTGGTGCGACATCTTCCTGCAGAACTGGAAGCAGGCGTTCCAGTACGCCCGCCTCCTCTCCCAGCAGAGCCGCTGGTCCAAGGCCATCTACTCCTACAGCAAGGCCGCCATCCTGGCCCTGCTCCCTGCAGACTTCGCCAGGCTGGTCAGCGAGGACACCAACTCGCTCTTCCTAAAAGTGGAGTCTTTGAGGATCAAGGTGTTGGGAACGTCGGTGCCCGTCGAAAAATTTATTGCCGTGAAGGGCCAGCGCTACGGGTCGACCACAGGTTGGTACCCGGCACAGCCCATGCTGGAGTTTCTCTATGCCTGGAGCGGCTTCCGCGTCATGAGCAAAAAGCTGGACCTGATCTCCAGCTGGCTCATGATCATCGACAAAGGGGAGGACCTGCTCCGAGAGAAGGCCAACACCGAGTACTGGGCCGACGACATCACCCTGCTCTACCTGCTCAAGGGGCTGTGCCTGAAACACCTGGGCAAGTACCTGATGGCTGAGCATTACTTCAACTCTGTCCTCCAGAGGGAGAAACTGTTAAAATACGACCACTACTTGGTGCCGTACACCTACTACGAGCTGGGGATTCTCTACTACCTCAAAGGAGACAGCGTCAGCGCCGCAAAAAGCCTGGACAACGTCAAGAACTACCGAGATTACTCCATGGAGAGCCGACTGCAGTTTAGGGTTCACGTGGCCTTTGAACAAATCTTCAAAGAACTGTGATTTCGGCACCAAATCCAGCTGGGTGACGACGAGCAGAGTCGGCTGCCTTGAGCAAGGTAGTCAGCAGGCAACGTGATTTCTGTGTCGAAGAGCTCAAGGAAAGCCTCCCGTGTAGAGTCCTGGCTGTGGCGAAGAAGAAGCGAGTCACCTGCTGCTCCCCCCCGTCCCTTTCCCTCCTGATAAAACGGCCCGTCCCGGACTGTCAGCGTAGTAAGAGCGCATTCTTGGCGAAGAGAGCAAATGAGGCACACGGTCAACAGCCCCCCTTTGTGTGTTATCAAGGTCTGGGTTATCTCAGAGAACATTTTCCCAGCCCTCCCCCTACTTTTTGGTTCTCGCCTTTTGTGTCACACCCAACGATGTTCAGGGGTCACTCCTGGCTCTGCACTCAGGAACTGCTCCTGCTGGTGCTCAGGGAGCATATGGGATGCCAGGGATCGAACCCAGGTCAGCTGCATGCAAGGCAAAGGCCCTCCCTGCTGTCCTATGGCCCCGCCCCTCCCCCCACTTTTTTGGATGATTCCTGTGTTGGAACCCAGGCCTTCATCTGTGCTGCTCATCTGCTCTGTCACTGAACGCCATGGTCAGTCCTTCCAGAAATACTGGGAGGGGGCTGGAGAGAGAGTACAGTGGGTAGAGGCTTGCTCCGCACATGGCCGACTCCGGGGTCGAGCCCTGGTATCCATACGGTCCCCCGAGCCCCACCAGGAGCCAGCCCCGAGCACCACTGGGTGCAGCCTCCGAAATAGAAGTCTATTGGGAGGGAGGCTGGAGGGATAGCACGGCACATTGCCTTGCATGTGGCTGGCCCAGGTTTGCTCCCCAGCGCCTCATGGTCCCCCAAGTCCTACCAGGAGTGATCCCCAAGTGCAGAGCCAGGAGCTCAATCCCTGACCACCGATGGGTGTGGCCTCCAGAAAGTGTTTTTCAGTGGGCTGTGTGGTTGGGGTATGTGAGCCGTCTGGTTACACTCAGCACTGCCGGGTATACCAAAAAGAGAAAAAAGGGAAAATATTCCACCGGACTGCTAGAGACCACGCACATCGGGCAAATAACACCAGAACACCCCATTTGGGAATCTCAGTGCCCCGTGTAGGTCTGATTTTGGTTTTCGGTGGGAGGTGCCCCTGGCGGTGCTCTGGCCATGCCTGGCCGTGCTGGGTTTAAACTACTGTCCTGGCTGCAGCCTCAGACAAGGCAGATGCCTTCCCCTCAGCACCCCTCTCCAACCTGCTTGTTCTTCAAAGAAATAGTCTTTACTATTTGACTTCTCCAAACAATGTGGGGTTGAGGAGATAAAGCGGCAGGGAGGGCCTTTGTCTTACAGCTGACCTACTTTCAGGCTCTGGCACCCTGTATGCCCCCCCGATTCCTGCTAGGAGAACCCCTGAGCAAGCCCCAGCACTGTTGGGTGTGGCTTACAAATGCTTTTAGGTGACTGTCTGTGCTGAGTCAGCCCCAGAGGTCACTGGACTGTTAGTGCGCTAAGAGGGCAGGTTTGGGCTGGCATCACACCCCAGCTCTGCCACTGTGTGGCCTTGGGCCTCTGGGCCTGTTTCCTCAGCTGTAAATAGGGACACTAGTTTCTGTTACATGAATTAACCCATCACGGCTAGGTAGAGCAACAGGCATAGTTCTTTCGTGCTGAGAATTTCACTGCTTTCTTAGGGCTGGAGCGATAGCACAGCGGTAGGGCGTCTGCCTTCCACGCAGCCAACATGGCCGACCCGAGTTCGATTCCTCCGCCCCTCTCGGAGAGCCCGGCAAGCTACCGAGAGTATTCGATATGCCAGACACAGTAACAACAAAGTCTCCAATGGAGACGTTACTGGGCCCGCTCGAGCAAAATCGATGAACAACGGGAGGGCCGTTACCTTTACCTTTCTTAGGAAAAGCCAAGGTCCTTTGTTACCTGGTTTGCCAACCTAAAATTTGACCTGCTACTTAAAAAATAATTCTCGATCTCTTGTGATGTCAGTAACTTCAACTTCCACTGTCTCCTTTACCAGCTGTGACAAGTTTAGCGGAGGGAACAAGTGCTGTACACCTGCTGTGTGGAGGCAGCATCAAACCCCTGGTCTGTCTCCCACCGGCCACCCCGTTAAGGAAATGACTAGAGACACAGTTGCTTCAAAAGGCTTTATCCCAAATAATGATGATAGTGATGTCCGTGGGCCCCCACGGGTGGTCATGTGAGGCGGGAGGAGAGATGGTCACTTCCTCCCTATCTGCCTCTGCCACCCGCGACCCAGGGTTCGCGGGTTCTTGTTTCACCTCGCAGAAAATAATTTCAGGAGTAGATGAGCAGTGAAATCAAACAGATTTTACTTAGGAAGCTTTTAGGAAGAGGAAGGAGGGAGAGTGATGTGCTCAAGAGAGAACCCCGGCTTCTCCAAAGCCCCTAACACACCCCATCGTTAGAGAGGAAAGTATGAAAGTCCACAGGAGATGCGGGCAACACGTGCTCGGCCACGTGGGAGCAAGCGGCACGGCACACGTGCTCGGGTAGCATACGCCTGCCCTTCCTTTGTTCAAGGTGGCTTTTAAGGGTTTTCCAAGCTGCCCTATGTGGAGCTTTCTGGCCCCATGTGGAGTCAGTTGCTAGGGTTGCTGCCAAGGGGGTAGAGTTGGAGGTGGTCTTTGGAACTCTTTTTCTTCGCCTTTGTTCCTGCTGGAGCTTCCCTGAGGGTGGGTCCAGCCTTCTCCAGTCTGGACGGGCTGAGGGTTAATCGGATTAAAGGAAGGAATTGGGGATTTTTTTAGTAATTCCCTTCAGGCTCCCCGCCCCCCTTTTTTGGGTCACACCCAGCGATGCTCAGGGGTTACTCCTGGCTCTGCACTCAGGAATCACTCCTGGCGGTGCTTGGGGACCTTATGGGATGCCAGATCGAACCCAGGTCGGCAGCGAGCGAGGCAAACAAGGCAAGTGCCCTACCTGCTATACTATCGCTCCGGCCCCAGGCCTTTTCTGTAGGGCAGTCGGGTCTCCTCAGGGTCTGCTGGAGGTCTTATCAGATCTTGCTTGCTTTCTGTATCCATAAGGTGGGTCTGATTTAGGACTGCTGGCTTAATTACTTCCGAGGAATTTTTTTTATTGCCATGATGGGGGAGAAACACTTCCCTAATCTATCTGCCGACATCAGTAGGCAGTTCAAGGCGGAGCTTTCTGTTATGGTGGTCAGGGAAGGGGGTCCAAGTCACACCCAGCAATGCTTGGCTTTGTCCAGGATCATATGACCTATGCCAGATGTAGTGCGTGGATCAAAATAGGGTAGGCTGCATGAAAGCTGGTGCCCAAGCCCCTGGACTGTCTCTCCAGCCCTGCAGAGTTCGAGTTTGACATTGCCTAGTCCTGCAGAGTTCACAAATATTTCCAGCGTTTTTATCCTAGGAGAGGAAGGCCATCACCACTCTCATGATCTCTCTGGGCAGGGCAGGGCGGGGCAGGGTGGGACAGGGCAGATAAAGGAACTGGTTTGCAGAAGCTGCTTCCCTGTAAGTGGATTTCCATTTATAAAGCTGCTCCAGGTCGGCCCGCACCGCAAGTACCACGGCATTGTTTTGAGAGGCTAACTTTTCCAGAAAGTACTGTGTCAAACGTTACACTTGGAGTCTGCCCAAAGCCCGCCCCCTCCCCCCCCAGTATCTTCTCCATGAGTCAGTAACGGGAAGTTCTCAGGATGTCGCCTGACTCCCAGCAGGAGCTGCAGAACCGAGAGCCGCGGTGAGGGGCCCAAAGGTTCAGGGGAGTGGAGCAGTGAAACCAGCACGCCTGGGCTCTGAATCACCCTGAATCTGAGCCCCTGCTTCTCGTTCTGTGGCCAGACAAGCCTTTCTGCAGTGCCATCTCTGGGGCTTTATTCTGATCTGGTGTGAATGTAGTCACCGACCGGCCCCCACTTCCTTTCTGGCCGCAGGGAAGACACAGCACCAGCTGAAATCTGAGTATTTTAAGGGAAAGCAGGTTTACTTTTGTGCCAGGGCTAGAGTGAAAAGTCTCAACAGACCGAGTCCATGAGGGCAGAAGCCTGGTTCAATCCTGGATCTACCGGGAGCAGCCCCTTCCAGCACCTCCTGGTGTGGCCCCAGTCAAAACCAAAAGCCCTTCGTGTGCTGCTGGATAGTACAGCGGGTAGGGGACGCGTCTTGCATGCTGCTGACCTAGCTTCCATCCCAGGCACCCCACGTGGTCCCCTGAGCATGCCAGGAGTGATTCCTGGGTGCAGAGCCAGGTACTCCTGAGCACAGCAGGCTGTGGGGTGCCCCAAGCCCTATTTTTCACCCCAAGAGCTGGAGAGCTCGAGGGACTGAAATGCATGCTTTGCGTGCAGGAGGCTAAACCATCAGCACTGCATACGGTCCCCGAATAAAGCCAGGAACAGTCCCCAGGAATCTGGCCAAAACCCTCGCCCTTAAGTAGCTAAAACCAAACTGAAATGCACCCCAAAACCTCTGAAAGGAGGAAGAGGGAGAAAAGTATAGCTTGAGGGAAAGGGATAGAAGACAGGAGGCAACCAACTTTGGGGGGCCCACCGTGGGCGTGACGGGAGAGAGGGCAGGGCTAAGTGCTGTGTCTCGCAGATGCAGACAGGGCAGGAACCTAGAAGGTGGGAAGGGCAGGGCACGGCCTGCTTTCAGTCTGCAGGAAAGCTCCGAGACATCTTTTTTTAGTTTTTTTTTTATGTAGGAGTACTGCTATTTATTCAGCCACTGATTGGCTGATTGAATTGTGCATTCCAGGACCTTTTTTTGAGTTTTTCTTTTGGGGGGGGTCGCACCCAGTGATGCTCGGGGAGGACTCCTGGCGGTGCTTGGGGGATCGTACGGGCCGCCAAGGATCAAACCTGGGTCGGCCGTGTGCCAAGGTCCTACCCGCCGTGCTCCGGCTCTGGCCCCAAAGCGCCACGACTTGGAACGCAGTGACAGCGAGCAACTGGTCCCGGTCCTGCTTTTCATGCGCTTTTGGGTCTGGGCGCCACAGCCGGCCCAGGCCAGGCACCACCTGAGGGTGCAGGGCCGGGCCCACACTCGGAGCCTGCGGGGGCCGAGCTCGTGCCGGCCACACACAGGCAGGTCCCCACCCCGGCCCGGAGCTCTCGGCGTGGGCCTTCGTGCGCGCGGCGTCTTTCGCGTCCCTACAGTCTCGGGCCTCGCGAAGCCCAAGGCCGAGGCCCCGCGCCGGCAACGGCCGACAGCGCGAGGAGCGCGGGTTCGGGGCGAGGGCGAGGGCGTGGCCGGGCACGGCCCGAGCACGCGCCGTGCGGGCGCCCGACGACCCTGAGAGAGCACGGAGCTCGGAGCCCAAGCCCCAGGTCGCGGGGCGGCGGCCTGGCGCTCCCTTCGGCGCCGGAGTGGGGCGGGGGCCGCCCGCCTGTCGCCCTGGGCTCACGCCACGGGGCGCCACGGGGCACCGCGGCGCGGCGGGGCTCGGGGGGCAGAAGCGGCGCCAGGGCGCGAGCGGGGCTGGAGCCGGCCGCCGACCGGGCGCGGCCCCACCCGGCACCCCAGGACCCCCGGCCCGGCGGCTGGGACCGCACAACGGAGCCTCGCGGCGACACAGAGGTCGCGGCCCGGCCGGCGCCCGCGGGCCGGAAGTGACGGGGGCGCAAGGCCTGCCGGGACCGAGGGCTCCTGCCGGAGGCAACGGGGCCGCGCCCGCTGGGACCTAGGACGTCTCCTTGGCACGCCGGAAGTGACGGCACAGGACAGAGCCCGCCGAGACTCGGACTCGACCGAGAACTACGGGGCCGACCCCGCCGGGGCCGGAAGTGACGGCAGGGCGGCGCCCGCTCGAGCCGCCCGGAAGTGACGGCAGCGCGCCCGCAGAGCCCGCCGGGGCCCGGAAGTGACGACAGGGCGCCCGCAGAGCCCGCCGCCCGGGGCCGGAAGTGACGGCAGGGCGGCGCCCGCTCGAGCCCGCCGGGGCCCGGAAGTGACGGCAGGGCGCCCGCTCGAGCCCGCCGGGGCCCGGAAGTGACGACAGGGCGCCCGCTCGAGCCCGCCGGGGCCCGGAAGTGACGACAGGGCGCCCGCTCGAGCCCGCCGGGGCCCGGAAGTGACAGGGCGCCCGCAGAGCCCGTCGCCCGGGGCCGGGAGTGACGGCAGGGCGGCGCCCGCTCGAGCCCGCCGGGGCCCGGAAGTGACGACAGGGCGCCCGCAGAGCCCGCCGCCCGGGGCCGGAAGTGACGGCAGGGCGGCGCCCGCTCGAGCCCGCCGGGGCCCGGAAGTGACGACAGGGCGCCCGCAGAGCCCGCCGCCCGGGGCCGGAAGTGACGGCAGGGCGGCGCCCGCTCGAGCCCGCCGGGCCCGGAAGTGACGACAGGGCGCCCGCAGAGCCCGCCGGGGCCCGGAGGTGGCCGCGCGCGCGGCGCTCGAGCGTGCCGCGGCGGTCCCGGCCGCGCGGCGGGGTCCGTCCGTCCCTTCGGGCTCGCGTCCGGCCGTCCGTCCGTGCGGGGCGGGGCCGGGCGCGCCGCCATGGGCGAGTGGGCGGGCCGCAGCCCGCTGGAGTGGCAGGCGTGGACGCACCGCGCCGTGCGCGTGCGGGCCGGCGAGCGCGAGTACCGGGGCTGGCTGCTGGCCACCGACCCGGTGTCCGCCAGGTGAGCGCCGCGGGTGGGCAGGCCGGGGAGCTCGTCCCGGCACGTGTGGGCCCACGAGGGAGCCGCCGCGCCCGCGGGCGTCGGTCACCGCGTGCGTCGCGTGCTCCCTGTTGCCGGGCGGGCGGGCGGGCGGGCGCTCCGCGGTGCTGGGGGCGGCGTGCAGCCCCGTGTCGGGTCGCCCGCCCCCGTTTGCAAATCGCCCCGAACGTTCCCTCCGAAGCGTCGTCCTGGCCAGCTTCCTCGAGGACGGCCGCCTGTCGGTGACGGGCGTCATGGGACACGCCATCCGGGCCGTGGCCGCGGACCCGGAGCAGGAGGGGCAGGACGCCGGGGTGCGGGAGAGGCTGGCGCCCCTGTTCGTGGCGGGAGCCCCCGAGGCCTGCAGCCCCGAGCTGCTGCGGCAGAGGAGGGACAGCCTGAGGAAGTGGCTGGAGGAGAACCACGTCCCCATCGCCGAGCTCGGAGACGCGCCCCACGCGCTCTGCGTGGCGGGGGTGCTGACCATCGAGCCGCCCTACGGCCCGGACAACTGCAGCAGCGCCAACGAGATCGTCCTGTCCCGCGTGCAGGACCTGATTCAGCGGCACCTCGCGGCTTCCTAGGGGAGCGGCCGGAGCCCTGCGCCGCCCGGCTCGGGCCTTGCCCCTGGGACTCTCGGCGCCCGATCGGATCAAGTCTTTGTTGTTGGGGTTCCACGTGGAATAAATTAGCACAGGCACGTCCTGGTCGTATTCGTCTTCATTTGGGGCCACGCCCGGCTGACAGGGCTTACTCCTGTTCTCTGCACAGAGCTCTCTCGGCGGGCTCTGGGGACCGCGTGGGGTGCTGGGCATCAAACCCCAGTTGTCCACATCCGCATGCCAGGGAAAAGCCCACCTGCTGTGCTCTCTGTGGTCCTGGAATAATTTCTTTTTTTTTGCTTTTTGGGTCACACCTGGCGATGCACAGGGTTTACTCCTGGCTCTGCACTCAGGAGTTCCTCCTGGCAGTGCTCAGGGGACCATATGGGATGTTGGGAATCCAACCCGGGTCAAGGCAAACACCCTACCCGCTGTGCTATCTCTCCAGCCCCGTGGAAAAAAATGTTCTTTTCAGAGCTTTTTTTTTTTTTTCGGTTTTGGGTGACACCTGGCACTGCTCATGGCTGCTCCTTGCTCTGTGCTCAGAAATTTCTCCTTGGCAGTGCTTGGAGCACCACATGGGATGCTGAGCATCAAACCTGGGTCTGCTGTATGCAAGGCAAGTGCCCTCCCCACCGTGCTATCTCTTTGGCCCAAGGGAATCATTTTTTGATTGAGTTATTCCCTTTTTGGGGGGGGGGTCACATCTGGCGATGCACAGGGCTTACTCCTGGCTTATGCACTCAGGAATTACCCCTGGCGGTGCTCGGGGGACCATATGGAATATACTGGGAATTGAACCCAGGTTGACCACGTGCAAGGCAAATGCCCTACCCGCTGTGCTATCGCTCCAGCCCCCTCCTTTCCACTTTTGTTAGGTAAGTTAGTGCCTTTAGAAAATAAGGGACCAGAGAGAGCCCAGCTGGTAGAGCAGCTTGCTTGCATATGGTTGATTGGGTTCGATCCCAGCATCTCATGGTCTCCTGAGGACTGAGAAGGAAGCCCTGGGCATCACTGGTGTGGCCCCAAGTCAAGAAAGTATTCGTGTTGGAGGTGTGTGCATCTGTTCCAAGCCTGGCATTGCCCAGGGGCTTCTGGCTCTGTCAGCAGGCTCATTCCTCGGGACCAGATGCCATGGTTGGATTGAAACGGTTGACTGCAGGGAAGGCAGGTACCTTACCTTGACTCCTATCACATCTGGCCGTAGGGCGTTTGGGTCACACTTGGCGTTTGAGCTGTTCTGACCTATGCTTGGGAGTGACACCCTATGTTGCTTTTGCTTGGGACCCTGTGATGTGCTCGGGATTGGACCAGGTGTGGGCATTTGTAAGTCAGGTGCTTTGCCTCCTGGGCCATCACTCCAGCCCGTGTAATCTTCCCCATTAGAGTGAAGCAAAATAGTTGCTTTTCGGGGTGGGGGACCCACACATAGTGGCGCTCAGGTCTTACTCCTGGCTCTGATTCGAGATCACTCCTGGAGATGAGATCAGGGCTTCCTCCTGCCTCTCGCTCAGGGATCCTGGCAGTGGACAGGGGCCCTCTGGCTGCCAGGGGTTGAACCCGGGTCAGTTGTCTATGAGGCAAGTGCCCTGCCTTCTGTAGTACCGCCACAGCCTCCAACAGGAACTCAGGCCTTCAGGTCATTTCCAGGACAAGCCGGCTGGAACGCAGTGAGCACACTTTCTGCATAAGGAATTTCCAGGCTGCAGATAGTACAGCAGCTGGGCCGCTGCCCATGCACGCAGTGACCAGAGTTTGATCCCTGGTTTCCTGTGTGACATCCCGGGCACTTCCAGCAGTGATCCCTGAGTGCTGAGCTGGGAGGAAGTCCTGAGAATCGCCAGGTGGCCCCAAGGTAAAAACAGCAAAAACAACCAGAGAAACAGGAAACTATTACTGATGAGAACACATACTACACATCATTGGTCTTGACCAAAGGGCAGAGAAGTGACAGTCACAATCCCTGCTTGTATTTAGCTTTGGGGTCACAGCTGGTGACGGGGCGGGGCAGGGGCACTGCGGGCGCATCCTGACCCTGGGCAGAGCGGAGACTGCGCAAAGGAGGTTTTCTTTTCATTTAAAAAATTATTTTGAGTTGGGAGGGGGAGTGATGGGAGGGCATCTGGGGACACGGTGCTGGGAAACGGACACTGGTGGTGGCGTGGGTGTTGGAACACTATGACAAACTACGAACAGCTCTGTAAAGGTCTATCACAGTGATTCAATAATAAATATTTTTTTCAATGATAAAATTTTAAAAAATTGTTTTTTTTTTGGGACCACTGCTCCCATGTCACACTCATCTGGTTTGAACCAGAGATGGCTGATGCCGACCCGGGCCCTGTTTGCACTCCTCCCTGGGCCCGGTCCTCCAATACTGACCCGACCATGGTCACCGTCCAGACCCCACTCCCTCGGCAATGGCAGGTCACAGAGGTGCACTCGCTGGCGGTGCTCCAAGGGAAACGGCCCCATGCTGCTTCATTTCCACGGACTGAGGGAAGCGCCCATCCCTGCCATTCGGGGCCGTGGGCCTCCTGACAGTGTTCAGCTGGATGGCGAAGACTTGAAAGTTGCACTGGGCACCACAGGACCACCCCAGAAGCGCTCGGGGCCCAGGGTCACACCCGAAGGTGCTGTGGTTCATGTGGTGCCAGGATTTATGTGATGACTGGGTGACACCCACAGACCCGCTCAGTTGGAGGTCACACTGCTAAGTGGGACTCAGCCCTCAGCCGTACAGCTTGGAGCCCACCATGGGGGGCTTGTCGAAGTACTTTCCCAGGATCTCGTTTGCCAGAACCCCGTGGCCAGATTCTGAGTGTTTCCAGAAGGGTGAGACCCACTCTGGGCGGGCGGGGCCTGGCGGGGTGCGCTGCCTGTCACTCCTGACGGGGCCGGAGCACACACATTCTGTTAAGTCCTTTACTGACACTTTCCCGCGCGCTCTAGTAAAACCATCACGGACAGAACTTGCTGGAACAGTCACGCCATGAGTCGGCGTGCCTCGACATCCTCTCTACTGAACATGTGCCCGAACACCACACTGCCGACTCGAGATGGATCCCGAGTCGATGGATCCCTTTCCAGGGGGCTGGGCTGGAAGCCCGGCTTCCACCTGCTTGGCCAAGTGCTCAGGCCTCTGGTCGCTCCTCCTGGCCCTGGCTCTGGGCGTCTGGCTGAAAGGAGATCTGTGAGCTTTAACAGTGTAAAGCTTGGCACGTTCGTGGGATGGGAAGGGCCGCTTCAGGCTGGGCTCTGGGCACCGCGTGGCCCCCCATCTCCAGCACGACTGGGTGTGGCCCAGGGGGAGAGCTCGGGGCTCTGCAGTCGAGGGTCCCGCCCTTTCAGGTCTGGCACGTATTAGCATGTGTGTGTGGCTCCCGGGGTTGGGGCAGCCCCCTGCCCTCAACAGGCCTCGAGGGTGGCACCCAGGGCCCAGAGGCAGCTCCAAGGTGAAGCACGAGCCTTGCACATGAGAGGCCTGGCCCCGGCCCCAGCACCAGATGTGCAGTGAGGTACAGTGACCTTCTCAAGGCTTAGGCGAGTGTTGTGGCTCGGTGTCTGAAACGGTCCCGCCACACCAGAGCTGTGAGCTGCGTCTGATTCCTGCAGCGGGAACTTGGCCAGGGTGGGGCGAGACTCTGCTTGCGGAACTCATCCAAGGGATGACTGCGATCAGCCTTTCAGATGCTCAGCCCGAACCCTCCAAGGTGAAGCACCAGAGATTGATTGTGGCCAGTGGGTCTGGGTTTCCTGTCCCCTGAAGACTGCCAGGATATGGGGGGCTGTGACTGATGAGGAATTCGGGCTCCCAGCACAGACATACACCAGAGGGAAGCGCCCCATGCCACAGTGGAGAAGCAGCGGTCAGCGGCGGTCATCGTCCATGGACACTTTTCCATCTCAGCTGTGCAGTCTCACCCAGAACTGTCCAGTTCCGGGGGGCTGGGAGATGTGCCGGTGAGGCGCAGACCCCTACTGAAACCTGACAGGAGGGAGATGTCCGGGTGACCCGCTTTCCAGACCAGGCATCGTGGACTGAGGTCTTGGATATGAACGCCCTGGAGTGCAGGGTCTCTCCTGGCAGTGCTTGGGGACTGAGAAGCGGGCCCTGGGCCCTGCACACAAAGTCCAGGCTCAACCCTGAGCTCCGGCCCCATTTAGGTTCAAGCCAAATGAAAGTCTGTCCCTCGGCCTCACGCATGTGTGTCCACACTGCGGCCCACCCTGCTGGCCTGCACCACATTCAGTTTCAGGCTGGTCTTAAGTGGAAATCAACTTTACTCAGTCACCAGAGCCCAAAACAGGATTCAGACTTTTCCTGTTTCGTTTTTAGGACAAACTGGTCTTGTCAGGGGGTCACTCCCGGAGGGCTCGGGGGACCCTCCGGGATGCCGGGGTCAGCCCCAGCGGCAAGGCAAGAGCCCTCCCCGCTGGACTATGGCTCCAGTCCTGTCCCTGCTCCTGCACTCGGTTCCCGTTCTCTGGCCTGCCTGTGGCTTCTCTCGGTGGCCCAGGTCGGGTCGGGTCTCGGTGGAGACCCCCGTCATTCTCTTCCTCCCGCGTCCGTCACTGCAGCACGAAGCAGAACCCTCAGTGCTGGCGTCCACCAAGTGGCCTGCGGCGTGCCCTCACTGCGTGGTGACGAGCTTGACGATGGTGCCGATGATGCGGGAGCCGCGGGGGCAGGTGCACAGGTCCATGCTGGGCTTCCGGATCTTGTCCTGCAGCAGCTGGTCTAACTCCCCTCGCAGCTCCCGGACCAGCTCGGCCACCTAGGGTGGGGCGGGCGGGAGGCAGTGACCCCATGCCGGCAGGGACAAGGACGGGGTCCAGTGCACCGCACGCCCAGGGCACCTCCCGGCTGGGGTGCCGCTGTCACAGGAAGCAGAGGAGGGGCTGTCCCGGGCGACCCTCACCCCAGCCTCACCTGCCGGGAAGCTGCAGCGAAGCGGATCCAGCCGTCGTCCAGGGAGACCACGAACTCGCCCCTGTGCAGCTGCACGCTGACCTGGCCGCCCCCGAAGAGCACCAGCGGGTACACGGACACCATGCAGCAGTCCCGGACGAACACGCGGCTTGTCTTCACCTTCTCGTGGTACACCAGGTAGGGGCTGTCGAAGTGCCGGACCTGGGGGCACGGCGGGCGGGGTCACCACCCTCCGCCTGGGCTCTGGGCCACAGCACTGTCCTGGCAGCAGGGACCCGCCCCTCGAGTCAACCAACCAGACACGAAAGGAGCGACCCAAGGGTGCGAGTGTGCCTGGGGGACAGTACGAAGGGGCACTGAGGGTGTGGCTGGGTTTCTGGGCGGCGCTCAGGGGTCACCCCTGGCGGGACTCTGGACACCCTGCACGGTACCAGGGATGGAGCCTGGCTGGCCGTGGGCATGCCGCCCCCCCCCCCCCCCCGCACTGTCTTAGGCCAGTAGAACCCAGAACAGGGACTTGGAAAGCTCAGCCTGGGCCAGCAGGAGTACCTGGGCATGGTTACTTCTGAGGATGGGGGCAGGAAGAGACGGAGTAATTGCGCCGGCCTTGCACGCAAGCGACCGCTGTCCCTGCCACCCCGGTGGACTTCCCCATGCTCAGTCTTTCTGGAAATGGCTAGTGTTTACAGTCGCTGACTTCACCCCTCCCTGCAGAGCTGGGGGGGACCAAGCAGGCTAGGGATAAGCCCCAGGACCACACCCATGTGAGCCACTTCCTGTCCATCCGTCGGGGTCTGGGGTGTCAGGGACGCCCTGACCTGATAGTTGACAGAGGAGGGGTGAATGTGCACGTAGCCGTCGTTCTTGGTGACGAACTTCAACTCGTCGGACTTGGGCTGCATTCTCACCGCCCCCGTGCTGGTCTTCTGGAACTTGCCGTCGGGGCTTTTCACCTGAACCGGACAAAGCACGTGCCCGTTGGGGAAGGGGGAGGGTCGCTCCTGTCCTCCCGGGAGACAGACGACGGGGACGGGCACAGGGCCGCGTGGACGCTGAGGCGCTCAGAGCTGTGGCCCACCCCACGCCTGCCAAGAGCCAGAGTGTCCTTCAAACCTCAGTGAAGGAAGCGTACAAAGAGCTGATTCCACCACAGGGAGAGCGACAGCCCCGCACACGGGCCTTGCGTTTACACAGGCGTGCACCGCAAATGTACTGTATACCGGAAACTAACGTGAGAAAAATGAAAACACCTGAAATCTGATTAGTAAGAAACTAGCATTAGTATCTGATACGGATTTTTTCTCTGCTGCACTTCAATATAGGAAGTAACACGAATGTATGCATGTACTGAAACTAGTATGCGGTTTTCTTCTAGAATCTTTCACTATTTGAGGGGATGTTGGGCCATGCCCAGCAGTGCTCAGGGCTGACCCTGGCTCTGTGCTCCTGGTGGCACTCGGGACCCTGTGGGGTGCCGGGCAAGTGCCCTCCCTGCTGTACTACCTCTATGTTCCCTCTGATTTTCTTTTTTTTCCACCTTCGCTACAAACAACTTCCTTTTCCCTGCAGTGCCAGGATCAAACCCGGGCCTCGCACGCGCACACTACGTCTCAACCCGAGCCCACTCCAAACGGTTCTCTGAAGTTCAGTGGTTTGGAGAGCGGGTACGGGACAGGGGCCCAAGGGAGCGGCGCTAGCTCGCACCAGTGTGAGGAGAGAGAACTCAGCCGGACACTGCAGCTCGTTCGGAGCGGGCCCAGGACGGGGCCCAGGACGGGAACTGCCACGCGGGCAGCACACGGCGCTTCCTGCTGGCCAGCAGACGCCGAGTGAGCTTCATGCCACTCTGACTTCAGTCGGCTCTTCTGGGTCAGCTGACGCCAGGCGGACAGTAGTAGCTGATGTTCGCTTCTGGGGCGCCCAGTAGGGCCAGAGAGTCAGACCTGTTCTACGTCAGGGCTTAGACACATTTGCTTCTTTTTTCTTTCTGGGCCACACCCAACTGTGCTCAGGGGTTACTCCTGGCGGGCTTGGGGGGCCATACGGGATGTCAGGGATTGACCCCTGGGAGGCGTGAGCAAGGCAAGCGCCCTCCCCACTGTGCTGCCGTTCTGGCCTTCACAGATGTTTTCTACTTGCGACCGATTTTTGCCCAAGAAAATTTTATATAGCCCTGGGGATATGGTTATATATAGTAGGCGTACAAAGTCAAGATTCATTGATAATACATCATAAAAAAATCATCCTGAAGGGCTGGAGAGACTGTACAGAGGGCAGGGTACTTGCCTTGCATGCAGCCAATCTGGGTTTGGTCTATCTGGACCCTACACCACCCTGTGCGGTCCCCTGAGCACTGCCAGGAGTGACCCTGGAGCACTGCACTACCAGGTGTGCCTCCGCCTCTGGAAAAAAAATTTTGTATCGAAACGCAATGTTTTAGGGTTATGTGACGCAATTTAGGAAGCAAGGCTTTACACAGTCATGTCCCTGAAGGAAGTATGGAAGCGGATGGGAACTGAAGGAGGCGTGAAGGTGCGCTAACACTCGGAAGACTGTGTGACCGTGTGTGTGTGTGTGTGTGTGTGTGTGTGCACTGAGATCTTCAGATATGAACGAAGGCGTCTGTCTTCACTTCAGAGCCTACAACTCAGGCGTACAGCGGGGCTGGGGAGGGACGGGGGAGCGTTACCTGCACGACATTGGGATAGAGAGCGGCGCACAGCATGGCCGAGATCAGCTTGGGGTTCTCGGCATTGGAGTTCGCCTAGGAGCGAGACACAGCATTACCCCCCGGGCCTGCCTTCCCCGTGACTCACTCCCATCGCGGGGGGAAGCGTCACATCTCCGTCTCTGTTCTCGGGAGATCTTCCCCACGAAATAGCGAGCTTCGGGGTCACGTCCGCACAGGACCCACCCAAAACGCCTCTGGGTCCTGAAAGCGTTAGAGGACTGTGGCTCCTGAGACGATCTCCTCTCCAGAAAGCCTGTGGGGTCCTTCCTACAGCCAGACAAACCCTCCTACAGTCAGAAAAATCCTTCCCAGAGTCAAACCCTTCCTACAGTCACACAAATCCTTCCTCGGCCGGAAAAGGTTGGACTCACGTAAGCCAACAACTGGGAAGTCTCTCCCGCCTGGGGACCCACAGGTGTCCAGTGTGAAACTGAACTGCTGTTTTGGGGTCACGCCCAGTGGTGCTCAGGGACCCTTCCCAGGGGCAAGGGGCCACGAAGTGCCAGGGATCAAGCATCGAAGAATAACTCAACCCACTCAGCAAAATGTAAATAGAGTCAACACAGAAACCACCCTAGGACACCATTCTGGAACAAGAGCCGACATCTCGCCCTCTCCCCCGTTCTGGGCCACGCCCCACGGTGCTCAGGGCTGACTCCTGGCTCTGTGCTCAGGCATCTCTTCTGATGGTGCTCGGGGGCCACCTGGGGTGCCGGGGACCAAACCCCGCTGTGCTGTCTCTCCGGCCCCCAGAGCTGGCGTTCTCTGCGGGATGAAGGCAGTGTCCCCGTGCCCTGCTCGGGGCTGTCACCTCGTCCCCGGTGGCCTCCACCACGCCGTCTCCGCCCTGCGCCCTCTTCTCGATCTCCCGTGCCCGCAGACCCTCCTTCACAAAGCCGATGTCCGACAGGAGCTCGGTGAACTGCCGCTTGAGGCTGGCCATTTCCTGGGAGAGAAGCGAGGTGAGCAAGCGGGGCCTCGGGTGGTCAGTGCCCCCCTGATGTCCAGGTGAACGAGGCCAGGGAGGCTTGGCAGCAGGGTGCTCGCCTTGCTGTGACCGCCAGGTTCACCCCGGGACCGCCAACATGACCCCAGCATGGTGTCACGACTACAAAGCCAACCCGGCTCGGCTCAGTGGCCGGAAGGTGACAGCCGCTCTTAAGTGGACGCTTAGGTCATTATTCAGGCTCTGATGCACACAGCTGGTGCAGCCAAGAACATTCCAGAAATAAGTGTGGGCATCACGCAGGGCAGGAGGCTGCCACCCCGTGGGGCGCGGGGGAAGGAGGCCGAGGGGACTGACCTGGAGGATCCGCCCGGACAGGAAGTTCTGCCGGCAGTAGCTGGAGCTCGCACGGGCACCCTCTCTCCAGCTCAGCTGCCAGCCCTGCACAGAGAGAGGGTGAGTGCCCGCCGGGCAGTGCTCAGCCCTGCACAGAGAGAGGGTGAGTGCCCGCAGTACCTGGTACGCCCGAAGCAGGGCCAGGTAGTCACTGTTGGCCACGGCGAACTCGAGCTTCCTCTGGTTGGCCTCCTCCTTCTTATCCCAGGGGGATACCTGGGGGGTGAGGGGGCAGGCTGAGCTCCCACAGGGTCCCGCTCCCTCGAGGGCAGGTCAAGCGCTCCGTGGGAACATCTCCGAGCTGGTCTTCACAGCGGCGCCTGGTCCCCGAAACTCCCCGGGGTCACTCAGTTCCAATCAACAAGTCCACCACTTGCTCTGTTTTCCTCCCTCCCCCGCCCCCAGGCAGTGCTCAGGGCTTGGGGGGCTGAACCTGGGTTGGCTGCATGCAGGCAAGCGCCCTTCCTGCTCGACTACTGCTCTGGGCCCCGAGCCCCTCACTCTGAAGGCTCCACCCGAAGCCCAAGGCCCATGGACAGATGTTGGGGCTGGGCTGGCCATCGGGGACAGGCCCACGCGTGCCCGGGAGTCAGCGAAGTTGGGGCATCTCAGCTGTGCAGAGCCAGAGCTCGTGAGAGACAGGAGAGCTCCCTGCGGTCGGCAGACGGCGACCCTCACTGTCCCTGCCGCTGTCCCTGTCCCGGGGCCCGCAGGAGTCAGCGAGAAAGAGAAGCCAAACGGCTCTGGCGGGAAGGAAGGAAGCCGCGCCCTGAGCGGGTGACATGCTGACACGCACGGGAAACCCTGAAAACCTGGCTGAAAACCCTGAGAACCAACCAACAGATTACGAAAATCAGCTGTATTTCCTGTCTGGGGGTGGGGTGGGGGTTCCTGGCTCGGGGTCGGTCACGCGTAAGGCGAGGGCCTTTGCCTTCCACACTGCACTGCCAGAGTCTGGCTCCCATTTTTCTTTTCCTTTTTGGACCACACCCGGCAGTACACGGGGGTCACCCCTGGCGGTGCTGAAGGGACCCTATGAGACTGCAGCACAGTAGCATGTCCTCCTGTTGTTCATCGATTTGCTCGAGCGGGCCCAGTAACGTCTCCATTGTGATACTTGTTGTTACTGTGTTTGGCATATCGAATACGTCACGGGGAGCTTGCCAGGCTTTGCCGTGCGGGTGAGATACTCTCAGTAGCTTGCCAGGCTCTCTGAGCAAGGCTGAGGAATCGAACCCGGCTCGACCAGACAGGCCGCGTGCAAGGCAAATGCCCTACCACTGTGCTATCGCTCCAGCCCCCTGGTTGCATTTCCAGATGCGAATAACGAGCTAAGAGGGGAGAGAGGAAGCCTGACCCCGTTCAGAGAAGCTGAGCTTCCCGCCCGGGCACCACCCGGTCCCCCCACACCACGGATGCGGCCCGGGCGCCCCCAGCCGCGCAGGAGTGACCCCGAAGCGGCTCTGCCTTCGGGACAGAGGGCAGGGCAGTCGGGGGCCCTGGCACTCACGAAAGGAGACTTAAAGGCCAGGCTGGCGGCGATGGTGAGCGCCGGGTCCAGGCAGCGGAAGATGGAGCCAAAGAGCATGAGCTTCCCAATGCGCACGTCCACGGGCAGCGAGGCCAGGTGGTAGCCCAGGGGCGTGAGCTCCTCCTCGGGGGTCAGGGCGCCCAGGTCGCGCAGGCGGATCTTGGAGGCGCGCAGGGAGTCCGGGTGCGGCGGCTCGATGAGGCGGGAGAAGACGGACTGCAGGTCGTGCGCCTGGAACATCTCCAGGATCTTGATCCTGGGGGCAGACAGGCGGCGCTCGCCACTCCTCCCACAGGCCCTGGCGCCCGAAGGGCGGGACGTCCCCCAAGTCCCCAGATGACGCGTTTCCTGCATCTGCTTTTGGGCCCTTGACGGGCCAGGGGTGAACCCGGCGCGCCCGCATACAGCGCCTCCGCTCAGGCCTTGACTAACGTTTATTTGAAAAATTTTGGTTCTGGTCCACACCTGGCGATGCTCAGGGGTCACTCCTGGTGCTGCTGGGGGGAACCACATGGGGGCCGGGGATGGAACCTGGGTTGGCTGCGTGCCAGCAAGCGCCCTCTGCTCAGCCCTGGGCACTCTCCAGCCCGAACCGCGCCTGCCTGAGGCGGACGATGCCAGTTTAAGGCGCGCTTCAAGACTCATGGCCTCGCCTCTCACGCCGCCTCTCCCTCTGCTCACAGACCTGAGCACAGAGCCAGGAGCAGCCCCAGTGCAGGGTGGGGAGTGGTCCCCAAATCAGACAGACTCGAAGAAACATTCGGGCCTCTGCCATCCTCCCACCCCCCTGCAGGACACCTCTAGGCGCTGAACCACAGGCCCAGAGGAAGGGGAACTCTCCAGACGCTTCTCCCGAACAAGAGAAGGTCCGATTCAAGGACATTTCTGGGACTCGGGGCTCCCCGAGGGCTGGAGGCCCAGGCCCCATTCCCAGCTGCGTGTCCCAGAGCCAGGTCCGGCCCAGCCCCTCTCCTTCCAGAACATTCTCCGAGAGCGTTCTGTTCCTGGGCCCTGGGCCCCCAGCCCTGGGGTTCCCGCAGGCAACGTGCACCTCACCCCTGCATCAGCATCCTGGCCCAAAAAGTTGTTTCGTATCCTAAACGGGAACAATCTTCAGAACAAAACCTTAGACCACCCCAGAGTGTGAGGTGCCAGGAGGAGGCCTGGCTTCATGCTCGTTCTGCCCCCCGGGCCCTCTCCCCTGTCACCTTCAGCCCCCACGCCCGGCAGCGTACAGGTGGTGGGCGGGACACACTCGGAGCCTACCTGTCCCGCTGTCTGCAGACCATCCAGGCCCCGTGCCCCTGTCCCCCTCCCTCCACAGGGCCTCTCCGCACCCCCTTGCCTGCCGCATCTGCCCACCTGCGCAACCTCTTCGTTTCCTGGGGGTTTCCCAAGCAACGCTTCGGGGGTTGGGGCCAGCCCTGGCATGGGGGGGGCACGCTGGGGATGGGTCTGCAGCCCCCATGGGCACGCACCTGAGGCAGAGCTGCTCGAGGGGAACCCTCTGGATCTCGGGAAGCTGCTGTTTGAGCAGCTGGTGCCGGAAGTGGTGGCTGGTGAACAGGTGGAAGCAGACACCCGAGGCCACGCGGCCGGCCCGGCCCTTCCGCTGCAGCGCGTTGGCCTGCGACACGAACGTGTCCTCCAGGCTCTCCATCCCCTTGCTGGCGTCGTACCTGGGGAGAGGGACACCGAGGGGAGGCACCTGGCGCTGGGAGAACCCACCCCGCGGAGCTCAGGGATCACTCGCGGCAGGCCTGGGACCGTGTGGGGAGCCAGGGACGGAGCCTGGGCCGGCGCCTCCCGCTCTCCCCTCCTGCCCTGGAGGACGCTTTCTTCAGCTGGTTTTGGGGCTTTTCCTGCCGGCCCCGAGGGGCCCATGCGGGGCCGGGGATCGGAGCCCCCACCCAAGGCCCCGAGGTGGTCACCACAGAAAGGTCACCACCACGTAGGGCATGAGCAGATCCGGCCCCAAGCGGCTCCTCGGAGCAGGGCGGAGACGAGGGCAAGTGTCCACGTGACCCTCCCCGGCTCCCTGCCCGGGCCACCAGTCTGGCGCCTGCACACCTCTTCTCTTTCATCTTCCCCGAGTCGATGACATAGACCACGTCGTCGATGGTGACGGACGTCTCGGCGATGTTAGTGGAGATGATGATCTTGGTGACGCCTGCCGGGGGCCGGACGAACACGGCCTGCTGCTCCTCGCTGGACAGGGACGAGTGCAGGGGGTGGACCACACACCTGCGAGGGGACACAAGCACGGGCACCGCAGTCAGCAGGCAGGGGACACTGGCCTCGAGATGGGCTTGCTTGGCCGGGAGCCCGAGAGCCCGACACGCCGAGAGCTGCCCCCTACTGTGTGGAGGGGCCGTGGCGGCTTGCCGGGGAGCCTCCCCACTCACCAGGCCCTGCCAAAGGCCTTCCCACAGAATACCAGCATTCCTGCCATTTCGGGGCGGGGAGGGGGTTTGGCCCACCCAGCAGTGCTCAGGGGCTACTCCTGGCTCTGTGCTCAGGAGTGATGTCGGGGGTAGCGGGGATTCTAAGCTGGTCATGGCCGACACGGCCTCGTGCAGGGCACGTGCCCGGACCCCTGTGCTGTCCCTCGGCCGCACGAGCAGCATCTCGGTGACCATCGCTGGCTTCTCCCTGCCCCACCTGTGGGAGTGGCGTGTCTGTGCCTGGTGACGAACGTGGAGCACGGGCTTCCTGGGCAGACGGTGGGTCTGTGTTGGGCACGAACCAGGGCAGGGACAGGGCGGGGTGCAGCCCTGCAGTGGGAGGGCACGGGAAGGGGGGACTCACCGCTCGCTCCGCCGGTTGTTGAAGAGCGAATTCGCCTGGAGCTGCTCGTACAGCATTTTGATCTCAGCCAGACCCGGCAAGAACACGAGAATCGCGCCTGGGCACAGGGTGAGAACCACCTGGTGAACACGGGAAGCAGGCGGCAGTGGGCACCGCAGACAGGTTGCCTGGGCATCCTTTTATTTGCAAAGTGCCCAAGGACTTCTCGATGCACTGCTTTCCTTTGTTCTGTTCTGGGCTGCACCCAGCAGTGCTCAGAGCCTACTTCTGGCTCTACGCTCAGAGATCACTCCTGGCAGGTTCACGTGGCGCCAGGGACGGAACCTGGGTCAGTGATATGCAAGGCAAGTGCCCTGCCCCCTGGGCAGTCTCTCTGGCCCCCAACTCCCTGTTCTTAAGGCACGCACACTGCACAGAGGGAAAGTGTCCGCGAGCAGAACTGAGTCTCCGGACAGTGCTGCGGGCTGGAACATGGCCCTGTTTCTGCTGTACTGACCGCTAGGGGCTGGGGAGGAGGCTGTGCCGGCCGGCAGGTCCCGGGGGTCCCAGACAAGGCAGAGCGGCGGGAGGGTCCTGTCCCTGAGTGTCAAGTGACCGGGGCCTCAGCAGTTCTCTGCATGGCACCAACCAGGGGCTTGGGCCGCGCTTGATGCCACAGCTATGGTTTCTCTGACCCACAGAAGAACTTTCTAGAAAAGACCTTCTGTCGTCTTCATTGTCCAGACAAGGCTCCCCAGGCCCAGCTGGGGGGACGGCCTGGCAGAGCAGGGGAGGCCCCTGGCCTCTGAGCCCGTCACTGTGGCCACTCTCTGGGTACCCCCTGGCCAGGGCCACCATCCCTGCGGGACTCAGCGCCTGGCCTCCCCCTGGAGCTTGCAGAAACGCTGCTCGATGGCGGGTTGGAGCCTCAGTACCCGAAGGAGGGCCGGGGCAGGCACGGGGCTCACCCGGGGGGTAGGAGTGCTTCCCGCTCACGATCCACTCCAGCAGGGCCTCGATTAGCTCCAGGTTGACCTTCTCGAAGTCCAGGACAGACATGGTTTTGATGACCGATTTGCTGACCCCTGAAGAGCAATGGAGCAATCTGCGGGCTGCTTGCATGCGACGGGCCCCCGCAGGCCCCGAGGCGAGGGGTCTCAGCTCCAAGTGCCCCCGAACGTGAAAGGGACTTTCTCGTCCCACGTCTCTGAGGGCGCGCCACGGGCCAGGCCCAGCACGTCTCCGAACCTCCCAGAAGCCTCTGGATTAGGGCGGAGAGTCAGGACAGTGGGAGGGGCCTGCTCCACGTGTGGCTTCACGGGTTCCGCCCCGGGCACCACCAGGAGCGATTCCTGAGCACAGAGCCAGGAGCAACCCCTGAGCATCGCCGGGTGTGGGCTAAAGAAACAAAAAGCATCCTTCAGAGCAGAGAGGTTGGTGGGCGAGAAGTTGTGGATTTAAGGTGACAGGGTCCCCTGGAAACTGACAGACCAACACACACACACACACACACACACACACACACACTCGCAGACAGAGCACCGTGTGTGGCAGGCAGGCAGGACTCATTCTCACTGGCCAGGATGGCAGGGGCGGGGGACGGGATTCAGGCTGTTGCCTTGCATGCAGTTGACTCTAGTTTCGTTCCCAACGAAGCACAGACCCCCAGAATCACTAGGGGCAGCCCTGGGCGATCCTCCCCCCGCTCCACCACCCCAAAAATACTGAGAATGAACTCACTGAAAAAAAAAAAAGTAAATATTTTGTTCATTTGCTTTTTGGGTCACACCCAGTGATGCACAGGGGTTCCTCCTGGCTCCGCACTCAGGAATTACTCCTGGCGGTGCTCGGGGGACCATATGGGATGCTGGGAATCGAACCCACATCGGTCATGTGCAAGGGAAACACCCTACCCATTGTGCTATCGCTCCAGCCCCCCAAATTATTTTTAAGTAACTATTTTAAATTATTTTTGGGGGGCACCAATGGTGATAATCAGGGCTTGCTTACTCTTGGCTCTGTGCTCAGGGGTCACTCGTGGGGGTACCTGGGAATATTTGCTGTGCAGGGGGTGGCGAGCTAGGGATTGTCACATGCAAGGCAAGTGTACTCTCTCTCTCTGACCTGACCCCTAACACGCTTTACTGGGGGCCACAGCTGGCTCTGTGCTTGGGGGCCATACAGGGCGCCAGGTATCGAACCTGGGCTGGCCGTGAGCATGGCCGAGTGCCCTGCGCGCTGTGCTGTCTCCACCCCCAACGCTTTCCTTCCCCATCAGATACTTGTAACAACACTTTCTCTTCCTTTGGCGTTTGACCCCCGACCCCCGGAGTGTGAGGTGGCCCTGACGCAGAGGGGCACTCAGCCCACCCGCCTCCCTCTCAGACCCACGAGAGGAAATGGTTCTAACTATAAAACATCAAAAAACACTCAACTAGGGAACCTGATTTAATCTCACCATTGTTACAGTGATCCGTGGGGTACCCCTCCCTGGGTGCTCCACTGACCTCTCTTTGGCTCCCAAGTTCGTTTGGGGCCACACTTGGCTACGGAGCCTACCCTGGTTCTGGGCTAGGGGGACCCTCTGGGGTGTGGGCTGGAACCTGGGCTGGCTGTGTGCACGTGAATGCCCTTTCCACTGGACCATGGCTCTGGCCCTCCTAGTCTCTTTTTTCTCCCTCTTCAGTTTTACTTTGGGTCACGGCCAGCGATGCTCGGGGGTTCATCCTGGCTCTGCACTCAGGAATTACTCCTGGCAGTGCTCGGGGGACCGTATGGGATGCCGGGGATGGAGCCAGGGTCAGCTGCATGCAAGGCAAACGCCCCATCCTTTGTACTATCTCTCCAACCCCTATTTTTATTTTTTTTGTTTTTGGGCCACACCTGGTGTGCTCAGGGCTAACTCTGGCAGACTCGGTGTACTGGGGTTGGACCTGGGTTGGTCACATGCATGGTAAGCGTCCTCCCGCTGTGCTCTCTGGGTGGGACCCGAGGCCTCACTGCGCACGTGCAAGGCTGATGCTCTCCCGCTGAGCGGCACGCCGGACCCCGCTGACTGTTCGGAAAGCCCCCGGTACCCGAACAATGGCCACCGCACTTGGGTGTTGGGTCGGTTCCGAGAGGTCATGGACGAGTGACCGTCCAGCTCTGCCCTGCGCCCCACACCCAGGAAGGAGGCCAACACCTTTGTAGCGAGCCAGCAGCTGCTTGAAGTCCAGCTGCTGGTCGGGCACGGCGTCGCGGGCAGCGTCCTGGTCGTGGAACTGCAGGGACAGCCTCAGGTCCTCCTCCACCTCCTCCAGGGCCGTGCGCTGGCGCCGCGCCCGCAGCCGCTCCTTGGCCAGCTGCTTCCCGGAGCGCGCGTAGGGGCTCCCGTCCTGCAGCACATACCTGCGGGGACAGTGGGCACGCCGGGGGCTCTGACCCTCCCCTCAGCCCGTCCCTCCGGACAATCACGCCCACGCCCGTCTGCCGGACTCCCATCCCTGGTGACTGGCTCCCTGAAAACGCTCGAAAAGTCACACAGGGGCCGGGAGAGGCTGCGAGGCGGAGAGCTCAGGTTCAAGTGCACCCAGGCCCTCCCCGGGGTGCCAGGGCTGAGCTGGGCCCGGCTGTGTGCCAGGCGCCCGCCTTCAGCGCAGTGCTCGCTCTCTGACCTCCAGTTTCGAAAAGCTGATTCTTGAACATGGAGGCAGTGAGCTGGATGGGTCCGGCAGGGAGGGCTCGTGCCTTAGTCACAGTGACACGGACTCGAGTGCTCCAGGAGTGAGCCTGAGCACAGCTGGGTGTGGCCCAGAACTGGAGCAGTTAACAGGGCCCGTGGGGCGAGAGCGGACAGCCAGGAGGCCGCTGTCTTCCACACGGCGGAGCCGGGATCCATCCCACATCCCATACGGCCCCCCGGCACCGCCAGGAGTGACCCCTGGGCATCGCGGGGTGTGGCCCAAACCCACCAACCCTCTAAAAGCACCGACAGCAACTTGAGGCAGTGCAGGCTGCCACAGCGTTACAGCTGTCTTTTACTGTTTGGTGTTTGGGTTACACCTGGGACACTTGCGACTGCATGCAAAGCAAGTGTCCTGCTGGCTGTCCTACGCTCTCCCGAGAGTTGTCATTTGGGAGTTGCGGAGAGCCCCACCAATCCCCGCCCCCCCCCCCGGGTCCGGTTGAGTCTCAACCCTCTGGTTGAGTTTCAGTCTGGGGGGCACGTGCAGAGGTGCTCTGGGCTCCTGGGGACCAGGCGGTGCCGGACTGGCCTCTGTGTGGGAAATGGTGCCCAGCACCTGTCCTTCCTCTTGGGCCCCGCAAGTCCGGAGATGTCCGCGTGCTGCGCCCGCTGGGTTCTGCCCCCAGCCCCACGCCCTGCCAGGCGGAATTGAACCCCAGCCACCCGCACCCAAGCCCACGTCTACAGGGCCCCGGAACGGCCCCCGGTCCGCGCGAGTCCTCGGGGCGAGCGGGAGAGGAAACCGGCCGCGGGCCCGCGCGCTCGTCCCCTCACCTGGTCACAGCGATGGCATCTTCCAGAAAGAACTGATCTACGGGGAACGTGCGGCCTGGGAAGCAAGGACGGCAGCGCTCAGCCCGCCTGCCACAGTCCAGAGCTCACGACTCTGCGACAGAGCCCGGCTCGGGAAGCGCTGCTTGTCCGGCGAGCTTACAAGCACGGAAAAGCTTCTGACGACGGAAACTGGAGGGGAAATTCCCGTCCAACAGAAAACAGAGGTGCAGAGTGACCCCGGCGATCCCCACATCAGGTCACTAAAAATTCAGCGACCGGGGCTGGACGGTGCCGTGGGGAGGGCGCCCGCCTAGCAAATGGCTGACCAGAGTTTGATCCCCGGCACCCCTATGGTTCCCCAGCCCGCCAGGAGTGAGCCCAGAGCAGAGAGCGGGGGGAGCCCCGAGCACTGCAGGGTGTGGCCCCAAACAAAACAAAACGGAAGCGAGTGAACCGGGGCAGAACACGGCTCCGCCACAGAGCACGCGGCAGGTCCCGCCAATCCCGGCACCAGACCACACGAAGGAAAGGCCTGGGCCCCCCAGCAAACGGAGGGTCCTCAGACTCCTCGACATGGCCCAGGGTTTCCCCAGACTGTTTTCTAAAGAGAGACAGAGACAGAGACAGGGGCAGGCGGGCGCCCACGCTCACCGGGGATGGTGACGATGGGGCAGGAACCGAAGTACTCGGAGAAGAGCTCGGCGTCGAGGGTGGCGCTCATCAGGATCACCTGCAGCCCCGGCCGCTGCAGCACGAGGTCCTTCAGGACCAGCAGCAGGAAGTCACTGCGGAGAGGCGGGGGCAGGTGTGTGCGGGGAAGGACACGCAGCCACTCCTCGGCAGGCCCCTGATGGAGACGGCTCCGACCCTGAGCGCACGGGCGGTCCCGGGGGATCGGGCGTGCGAACTGGACCGACGCCATCGCACCCCACGATGCAGGCCTGCGGGGGTGGGGAGACAGTGCTCTGCAGGGGAGCACCACTGCCCAGCACACAGGCACGCACCCAGCCGGAGGGCGCAGTCACCCGCACGTGCCGTGGCCATGTGCCCGCCCCAGCCCACGGGGAGGGAGCTAAGAGCTGTGCTCAGCTGTCAGCCCCCGCACCTCACTGCGAGCCCACTCAAGAGTCCCATGACCTCCCACTCTGCTCCAGCACTTCACACAACCTCCACCCGCTGACCTGCCCGCTGCGGGAGCACGCCAGACCAGAGGATGGCCGGAAACAGCTCGGCGCAGAACCAACTTGTACCAGCCAACCCCTGGGCTCACAGCTGGCACCCAACGATGCACAGGGGTTGTTCCTGGCTCATGCACTCAGGAGCTACTCCTGGCGGTGCTCAGGGGACCATATGGGATGCTGGGAATCAAACCCGGGTCGGCCGTGTGCAGGGCAAACGCCCTCCCCGCTGGGCTATCGCTCCAGTCCCCTGCCAAAGGGTATTACGAGGAAGCAGCAGCAGAAGCTGTTTCTCCCTCAGGGTGCCTGTGTCCACGCACACCAGGCCTCACGCTGACCTCCCGCCACGGCTCTCGCTTCGGCAGAGGCCGCGGGCACTGCCACTATGGCGCTGTTTATCACTGAGTTCTCACCGACTTCGCTGCCGTGCGGGCAAGCGCTGAGTGCTCCGTGTGGAGAGACCTCCCCGGCCCTCATTTGTTTTTCTGTTCGTTTGTGGTGGAGCCACACCTGGCAGTGATCAGGGCTCATCCTGGCTCTGAGCCCAGGAGTCCCCGCTGGAGGGGGTCAGGGGACCGCCGGCCGTGTCAGACAACAAGCTCCGCCCTACCTCGCTGTCCCCAGTATTCTGGATTCATCGTTAGGTGTTAATAGGCCTTAGAAAACCTGCTAGTGAACAGGACGGCAGGCGGGACCAGAACAGTCATGGCCCAGTTTCTCTGAGTGGTGTGAAACCTCAAGCTCTTCCTTCTCTTTCTGTTTTGGGGTCACACCCGGCAGTGCTAAGGGGTCACTCCTGGCTCTGCACTCGGGAATCCCTCCTGGTGGGGCTCGGGGAACCACATGGGATGCCGGGAAGGACTGAACCCGGGTTGGCTGCGTCAAGGCGTGCACCCAAAAGCTCCTCTTCGTGTTCACATCAACACTGGACAGCACTTCCTCTGAATTTAACACGCACGATCGTTTAAACACCATTAGTCTTGCTGAGCTTTCGGGCTGCACCCAGCAGTGCTCAGATCTCACTCCTGGCCCTGCACTTGGGGATCAGTCGGCCAGAGGGGGAGCGTGGGGTCCACACGGGCTGCAAGGCAAGGCCCGACCCATGGTCCTATGACTCGGCCTTCAGGTGGCAGGGGCTCAGGGCATCTCGCACGTCAGCTCTAAGGACCCGAACTCCATGGAAACGAACCAGAAAGGCCCTGTGGCTCACCGGGTGTCTGGCTCCCACTGCCGCCCCTCCAATGTCAGCCACATGGGTCCCTGTCCGCACAGCCCCGGCCCTGCACGCACGCGCCTCTGCTCGGCCACACGCCTGCCGAGCACAAGGGTCTCTGCTCTGTGTCCAGAACACACAGGTGATTGATTGTTCCTGCCAACCGGTCAGTCAGTCACCCGGGAGCGAGTGTCGGGGCTGTGCCTAGCCGCCAGGCAGAGGGAGCAGCTCACCTCCACCTGTCAGTCCGTCAACCCTGCCGTGTGACACCCGTCTCTTCTGCTGGGGACAGTGCCCGCTCAGCCAGACAGTGCCCGTCCAACGGGAAGCCTGCCCCCTGCCAAACCCTCGCCCCGTTACCTCTCCTCGGTGCGCTCATGGACCTCGTCGATGATGATGTGGGTGACCCCGCGCAGGGCCGCGTCTCCCTCCAGCCTGCGCAGCAGCACGCCAGTGGTACAGTACAGCAGCCGGGTGGACGGGGACTGCAGGGGAGCATGGAGCCCGTCAGCGCCGGGGAAGTCAGGCCGGGGAGGCATCTCTCTGATGTGGCGACCCAGGTTCCGTCCCCGGCACCCCATACGGTGACTGGGACCCCACCAGGAGAGACCCCTGAGCGCAGAGCCAGAAATAAGCCCTGAGCACTGCCGGGTGTGGCCCCAAACAAAAACAAAAGAAGATTTTGGAAAAAAAAAAAAGGAAAACTTCCTGGCAAGCTGTTTTTAATGGCAAAAAGGCAGAAAGACCAGCAATGCCGCTGACAGGAAACTAAACTTGGGCAGTTTCCTGCCAGGTCAATAATAAAAGCTATTCTATCTCAGACAAAAATCTTTTTTTTTTTTGGCTTTAGGGTCGCACCCAGTGATGCTCAGGGGTTATTCCTGGCTCTGCACTCAGGAGGAGTGGAGGTGCGGGGCAGACCATATGGGATATTGGGGACCGAACCCATGTCACTGCATGCAAAGAAAATGCCCTCCCCGCTGTCCTTTCACTCCAACCCTAGATAAAAATCTTAAGTCATCAAAAGTGTTCACAACTTACCATAAAACTTCAAAAAGATTAGTGAGTGATAGATCAATTCGGGACCCAGAGATTCCTTTTTTCTTTTTTGGGGGACTCCCCAAAAAACTCCCAGCGATGCTTAGGAGTTACTCCTGGCTCTGCACTCAGGAATCACTCCTGGTGGTGCTCTGAGGACCATATGGAATGCTGAGGACTGAACCTGGGTCGGGCGCCTGCAAGGCAAACGCCCTCCCTGCTGTGCTATGGCTCCAGCCCGAGATTCCTTATTTAATCAAACAGAGTGACTCCCAGGCCCAGGGGTCAAACAGCACCTCCTCCACCGCTTCCGTCAATAAAATGAGGGCTGGAGAGGCAGCGTGGGGTAAGGCACTTGCCTACACCCAATTGGCCCTGGATCAATCCCTGGTAGAAGGTCCCCAGTACCACCAGGTGCCAGTCCTGGGCACTGTCAGAGGTGGCCCCAAGCGAAAAACTGAAAAGCCAAACGTCAAGACACCTTCACAGAGGAAATCAAGTGTAACGCCGTGAGTCTCCCACGGCCTGCAGGACTCGGCCCGGGAGGAACCCTTCACTGCACCTCAGGACTGAAGGAACCAAAGCACGGACGCACCTGCACGCTCTCCAGCCGGATCTGGTAGCCCACGGTGAGGCCCACTCTCTCGGCCCGCTCCTTGGCCACGCGCTCGGCCACCGAGATGGCCGAGATCCGCCGGGGCTGGGTGCAGATGATGTTGGCCACCTTCTCGGGCGGCCCGCTCAGAGAGTCATCCAGGATGAACTGCGGGATCTGCGTGGTCTTCCCGCACCTGCAGGCCGACACGGGAGCTCAGCACCGCAACAGCACAAGCAGTGGCCGCCCACCGGGGTTCCTGGCGTGGGCCTCACACCCACAGGAACCGAGCAGCAGTTTAGAGTCACGCGGGGAACTGCATGTCCAGACGGATGCCAGAGCGGGTCTGTGAAACTCTCCGACGTTTCCTCCCCTCCTCCCCCACGAATCTCGGGGAAGAGCAGAACGTGTTCCGCTGTGAATGCAGCTTGTACCTGCCCCGTGGTCCAACTGACTCGGTAAACCAAGGTTTGAATCAAGACTGGAAATGGGGAGACACGTCACAACCACCACCATGGGACTGGGAATTAATGTGCTCCTCACGCACTCACGCGTGTGTGCACGTACACGCACACACACACACACACCCCGTGTGAACAGGAAAAACCTGCGTCTCAAGCCTCTTGTTTTTGCCTTTTGGGTCACACCTGGTGATGCTCAGGGGTGACTCCTGGCTCTGCACTCAGGAATTACTCCTGGCGGTGCTCGGGGGACCATGTGAGATACTAGAAATCGAACCCGGATTGGCTGCGTGCAAGGCAAACGCCTTCCCCGCTGTGCTATCATTCCGGCCCCTCAAGCCTCTATTAAAGAAAAGAATCTCTAAGGAAACCAGAATGAGTACGGAGGACAGCAAATTTTCACGCAAAATGTTCACACACTGTCCTTCTCTTTTAAAATGGACTTTTCCATCATGAACAATTTTGTAACAGTATCTCACAGTGATTCAGTTAAAAAAAAAGTGGGGCTTCAGCAGCTTGAGGCAGAAATGTGAATGGACTATGCGTTAAACTCTGGTGCCATGCGCCCCCCAGGAGGGAAAGGGTGTCTGTCTCTTCTGCCTTCCCTGCTGCCCCCCACCCCCCCGCACCACAGTGGCCGCCAACTCAGAGCTTACTGAAAAGCCAGGTATGAGCCGGCGGTAATGGGGCAACTGCAGCCACATGGAACGGGGTGGGGGGGGGGCAGAACCGGCTCATCCTTCACGCCCAACCGAGGCCACGAGTTGCCCCCCATGAGTGGCTCTCTGGCACGGTCACGGAACCAGACGCACAGAAACCAATCTCATAATTATTCGGCTCTTGGCAGAAATCCCTCCAGACTTAATAAAGTATCAGAAATCCAAAACTGCACAGCCGCAATAGCAACAGACATCATAGGGTTTTCATAACCAGCGATAGAAAACAAATTATTTCACAATGCCTTTTCAGTAGTTCTGATTGTTGGGGGGAAATTCCAAACAATAATGGTGCATCTTTTGTCGTAATAATGAATGTATTTAAAGTAGAGAGTTAAGTACAAATCATCTGCCTCACAGGCATCGGGAGGGGTGGGAGGGGGGTTATATTTGGGTTCTTGGTGGTGAAAAATAATTACTGGTGAGGGGAGGGGTGTCTGATCATTGTATGACTGAGACTTAAACCTGAAAGCTTTGTGACTTTTCTCACTGAGATTCAACAATACTGTTTTTAGAAAACAGTATGGACGATTCTCAAAAAATTAGAAATTGAGGGGGTATGGTGCCGCCAGCAGGTCAATCTGTACCTGTGAGGCGAGTGCATCAGCAGCCTCATGGCGCCTTCAGACTTCCAGGTACCCCAAAATTGCTGCTGTGCCTTTGGCCAGACCCCAAAAACTTGGGGCAAAGATTACCAAGAAAGTAAACGGCCAAAAGTTAGGTATGTGGGAGACACACCCACAAACCACCTCCGGCTCAGCTATATAATTGGAGGCATGGCCTCTCTGGTTCCTGATCAGACTGCTTAACAGCCATGATCCCAGAGACTCAGAAACGAATCTCGGAACCCAAAGGCTGCTGGCAGAAATGCGTCCGGTCCCTGCAGTAGGTTACTGGTGCTGGGCCAAACCAGGTGGGAAGAGGTTTTGTGCCTTGGCCTGTTCCCCCTGGCAGCCCGGTGGCCGCCATCTTCCAGAGGCCACTGCACAATCAGGTTTGGGCCCTCAGTGATGAGACACACAGGGCTTCGGGATGGGGGTGGAGCCGGTCCTGTCCTCCCCACCCTCCCCACCCCAGTGAGACCCCCGAGTTGATACCCATGAACGGCCTCTCTGGCTCCTGATCAAGCTGCTCAACGGCCATGATCCCAGAGATTCGGGAACAAATCTCAGAACCCAGCAGGTTTTGGCAGAAATCCCTCCAGATTTAGGTGTTAAAATTTCAGAATTTCAAAATCACGTGGCCACTACTGCAGCCACTGGACATCATATGTTATTCTTAACCAGCAATAGAAAACAAATTGTCTACTGTTGCCTTTTCAGCAGATCTGAGTGTTGGGGTAAAATCCCAAATAATAATGGTGGGTCTGGTGTCAAAATAGTGAATGTAATTAAAGCAGAGAGAGAGAGTAATATAAAAATCATCTGTCCCACAGGTAGAGGGGAGGGTGTGGGATGGGGGTATACTGGGGTTTTTGGTGGTGGAGAATGAGCTCTGGTGAAGGTACGGGTGTTTCATTGTATGACCAAGACTTAAACCCGAAAGCTTTGTAACTGCTGTCTTGGTGATTCAATAAAAAAAAAATTATAAAAAATGAAAAAAAATTAGAAATTGAGCTCCCATTTGACCCAACAATACCACTCTTGGGAATATATCCCACAGAGGCAAAAAGGTACAGTCGAAATGACATCTGCACTTGTATGTTCACTACTGTACTATTTACAACAGAAAAAATCTAGAAAAAACCCGAGTGACTTCAAGAGTTAAAGAAACTTTGGCACATCTATACAATGGAATACTATCCAGCTATTCGAAAAGATGAAGTCATGAAATCTGCATAGAAGTGGATCAACATGGAAAGTATCATGTTAAGTGAAATGAGTCAGGAAGAGAGGGACAGACATAGAAAGACTGCACTCATCTGTGGAATATAAAGTAACGGAATGGGAGACTAACAACCAAGAGTAGTAGAGATAAGGAGCAGGAGGTCTGCTCCACGGCTTGGAGGGAGGCAGCACAGCTAGGGGAAAAGGCAGCTCAGATAGAGAAGGGAGCACCAAGTAAAGGGTGTTGGGAGGATCCTCCCAGGATGGGAGAAGCATGCCGAAAGTAGTCTGTAGACCAAACATGACTGCCACCCATTGGCTCTTTTGCAAACCACAACACCCAATGAGAGAGAGAGAGAACAAAAGCGAATGCCATGCCACAGAGGCAGGGTGGGGGGGTGGGGTAGGGGGTGGAGGTGGTGGGAGGGATACTGGGAACATTGGTGGGAGAGGATGGGCATTGGTGGAGGGATGGGTAAACGATCACTCTATGACTATAATGCAAACACCAAAGTTCGTAAGTTTGTAACTGTACCCCACAGTGATTCACTACTAAAAAAAAAAGAAAAAAAGGAAAAGAAAAAAGTGGGGCTTTTGGGGGCTGGAGCGATAGGACAGCAGGCCGGCCACTTGCCTCACATGTGGCCAGCCGGGGCCAATCCCCGGCGCCCCTCCTGGCCCCTAAGCCCTGCCACAGAGATCCCTGAGCATCGCTGGTGCGCCAAGTCCAAGCAAACCATCAGTACTTCTGAAGTGGGCGTGTAGAACTCAGTCCTCCAGGCTAGGGAGTTCTCTCCTTTCCCTTCCACCTCCCTGTTTTCAAAATTCATTATAATCATAATGCTGATATTCTTGAAAATACTGAGACAGATGGGAGCCACGGAGCAGTCCAGAGACCCGCCACGGAACCACGGAGCAGCCCAGAGATCTGCCACAGAACCATAGAAAAGCACAAAGACCCGCCACTGCCATTCCTACACCAACACCACACCCTGCACTCTCCTCCCGGGGGGGCGGGAACACTGCACCCTGCAGTCTCCTCCCAGGGGTGGACACCGCAGCCTGCTCTCTCCTCCCGGGGGTGGACACTGTACCCTGCAGTCTCCTCCCAGGGGTGAACAACACCTCAGCCTGCTCTCTCCTCCCAGGGGTGGACACTGTACCCTGCTCTCTCCTCTTGGGGGTGGACACCAAAGCCTGCACTCTCCTCCCGAAGGGGGGAGGGACACTGCACTCTGCACTCACGCTGGTTTTCCAGCTGGTGATGTACTCAGGAACCCATACAAGGAGCTGTGGACTGAAGCCTGGTCAGTGGCTGCGCCCAAGTGCCCGCCCTGCATCTGACCCTGCCACATGTCCCAGCTGTGTCTCAGAGCTCTGACTGGCAGCCCTGAGGGTGGGTCTCTAACCCTGGGGCTTCCCGGATGGGTCTCTGTGTTGTCTGAAGGTTTGGACCTGCCGGCAGCGTCAGCCTCCGTGAAATGCTCGTATCTGACAGGGAAGCCCGCATGCATCCACCATCTAGTTCTCTGAGGCTAAACCAGTTCTGCGGCCGAGCCCGGGGCAGTTCCGGCGGAGGCATGCGTCTGGGGGGCATCTTACCCGGTCATCCCGCTGACCACCAGCACCTGGTGCCTGGCCAGCAGTCTAAGGATGGTCTCTCTCTCTTCCCACGCAGGGAGGGACTGTCGTTCTTGCAGAATCGCCTGGAACTGCCTGGAATTCTGGACACACATGAGAAGGAGTCAGCCGGGTAGCTCTGTGTCCCCTTCCCCTTGCTGTCCCAGCCAGGGGTGACCTTCACCACTCCCACGCAGCCACGAGGCACTGAACAGCACAACCAGCACTGCTGAGCAGACTGTTTCTGTTTTTTTTGCACACCCCGCAGTGCTCAGGGCTCGCCCCTGACTCTGCACTCCGAATCACCCCTGGCAGGCTCAGGGGCCATATGGGATGCCGGAGATTGAACCGGGTTGGCCACATGCAAGGCAAGAGTCTCCCCACCCCACCCCACCCCCAACACACACACGCACACGCACACACACACACACAGACAACACACACGTTTAATTCTATCACCAAATATATCACCTCTGGACAGTGATCTGATCAGATACATAATTTTAATTCCTTCCGCCTTATTATTCACACCCACACACGCCACCCTCACCGCTCCTGTCCGACACGGGGGTCCAGACGCAGCCGCGGGGCCAGCAGAGTCCCAGCCCCAGTCGACTTCCCCACGCCGCTCGGTCCCAATGACTCCCTCAGATACATCTACATTTTATTTGTTTTGGCTTTGGGGCCACACCCAGAGGTGCTCAGGGAGCACTCCTGGCTCTGCTCTCAGGAATCACCCCTGGCAGGGGATCCCATGGGATGCCGGGGTCCAACCCGGACCAGCTGCGTGCAGGGCCAGCGCCCTCCCTGCCGTCCTACCACTTCGGCCCTTGACTTGAGATTTTAAAATAATCTTCATGGGAACGGAGGGACGAAACCCCACGGACTAGCGCCAGAAGAATGAGCGGCATCCTGCCCTGGCCCACTTCCGAGCCCCCGGGCCCCCACCACACCGCCAATCCTTAGTCCCCGCCCAACCCACACAGCACCAGGCCCAGCTACCTGCTTGGCCCGGAACTGCTTGCAGAGCCTCGCGTTTTCAGCGTGGGCTGATCGCTCCGACCAGTCGTGCCGCCTGGAGACCTTCTTCAGGTTCACGTAGCTCTCGCTCTCCACCAGCACGGGGGCGGGCCCTTTGGGTCCCTCCTCCTCTTCCTCCGCTTCCTCTTCCTCCTCCTCCTCAGGCTCCGACTCCTCTTCGACTTGAAGGGGACAAGGGCAAGCACCTTCCATAGCCATTTTTGGACAAAAATCAACAAACCCGTCCACTGAGGCAGGGCCTACGCCGAAAGGCAGGTCTGTTCATTTCAACCTGCTGTGCTGCTGCCAAGGCACTCATGGCCGGCCTGCACGAAAGCAGGTTACAGTCCAGAGACAGGACGCCTGAGAGTACAGCGGCAGGGCACCTGCTTGCACCGGCCTACTCGGTCTGACCCCTGGTCCCTGATCCGGTGCCCTGGACCCATTGGAGGTGATCCCTGAGCAGAGGCAGGAGGGAGCCCAGAGCACAGCCGGGTGTGGCCCCGATTCAAAATAATAACTAAACACAGAGAGACAATCCCACTAGGATCCTGCAGAGGGGCTTGCACACCCCCCACTCCCTGGGGTGGGGCCCGACAGGCGTGCTGAGGACGTCCTGGCAACAGCGGGCCCGGACCCGAGCCCGAGCAGCTGAGCCTCGTCCCGAGCGCCCGGCCAAACTCTGCACAAGCAGGCCGCGAGGAGAGTCCGACGGCCGCTGCAGCCCCCAAACCGTGGCAGCAGGGGCACTGACGGACACCGGGGTCGGCCCCCAAGGGAGCAGTTCTTGGCAACGAGCAATGCCGGGATGACAAGCACCTGGGGTCACAGTGGGGTCGGGGAGGCCAGAGTATACGAACGCACCAGTCGCCAGGGCAAGCCTGGGCGTGAGTGGACGGAGCCTGGGTCTGCACCAAGCCCGTCACCCTGCCAGGTCCACCAGGTGAGGCAAGCGGCACCCAGGAAGACCGTCAGAGAGGAGCACTGGCTTTGGAGGAAACTGCGGGCCCGGCCCTGCGGGGCAGCCTCACCCACACGCGCTCAGCCACCGAGGCGGCCACGGGCAGAGAACTCGGGCAGCCTGAGAAGGGGGTTTCCTCGAGGGGTGGCTTCCGGCCCTGGGAAGGGCATTGGTCTGAGGGTGGGAGAATCACAGTGTGAGCCGGCCTGGAAGGAGCCGGGGGGCCTGGTGGGTGAGGAGAGGGGAGAAGCAGCCCCTCGAGGGGCCCTCACGAGAGCACGAGGGGGTACAGACACGAAGGGAGAAATGGCCGACTCGGGGGCCGTGCCAGGGCTTGTGGCCCACAGGCAGACGGGGCCCAGGAGGAGCTTCCCCGTGTCAGCGCCTCGGCCCCGGGCCTGACCCCACATACCTTCCGGGATCTGGCTGGACACGGGAGAGCGGCTGGGGACGGCGGCTCCGTGGCAGGCGGGCCCCGATGGGCGGGGCGGGGCGCCGGCCGGGGCCCCACTGTGCTTGTGGGGCCCGATGGTCAGCAGCGGGGCCACGGCAACCTCCTCCTCCAGGAGGGTGACCAGCGAGTACACGGCGGGCTCCGCGCTCTCCGCCAGCGCCAGGGCCTTGCTGAAGAGCAGCTCGGAGATGTGCAAACGACAAGCCAGAGGTAGGTTCTCATTGGTGGAATAAAACGCCACGAGGGGCGCCTGGTGGGGGTAGCGGTGGTCCCGAGGGAACCGGACTTCAAGCTCGTACAAAAAAGACCCCTCTCTCGGGGCAGGGAGAGGGGCGCGGGCAGCAGGCCTGTCTGCCCGGCCCACCAGGCCCAGGGACGCCTCGTGCCGGAACTTGCACTTGGCTCCGAATTTACAGCTGCCTTTGAGGTAAAACCTGCAGACTTCCTGCGGCAGCCCCTGGGCGTGCCCGGCGTCGTCCTTGGGCCTGGCCTTGCAGAACCTGCTGGTCAGGTAGTCCAGGTCCAGCCCCACGGTCCAGACTCGGTTCCGGATCCTCTCGGTGAACCTGTCCCCGCAGATGGACCTGAGGGCCAAGGCCTCCTCCTGCCGCTGCTCCACACACTCGTCCAGGCTGGCGCCGGCGGCCTCGGGCACAGCCACCCTGTCCCCGAAGGCCTCGGCGAAGCACTGTGTGAGCAGCAGCTCCAGCGCCGCGCCCACGTCTCCGTCGCAGGCCCTCAGGGCCAGCCGGCAGCGGTCAGTGTGGAAGCCGTACCTGCCAGAGCACTGGGCTGAGCCCGGGCACCGGGGCGAGCAGGGGGGCCCCGGGACGCCCGCCCTCCCCGGGGGGTGGGGCCCACCAAGAGGTGTGGGGAGGGCCCGGAAGTCACCTGGACAGCTTCTGCACAGCGACTGTGGAGACGGGGCACTCGGGGGGCTCCACAGCCCCTGAGCCTCCGTACTCTGAAGGGTCGTAGTCGGGGACCAGGGACGCCTCTCGGCCGGCCACCCAGTACTGCTCCTCGTCTCCGACCGGCTCATCCTCCTCCTCCTCCTCCTCCTCCTCCTCCCCCGAGACATCTCTCCTGGCAGGGGGACCGGGAGTACGTGTTACGGCCTTTCCATCTCAGGCGGAAACTCTGCCAGAGGCTGAGAATCTCAGACTGAAGCCGGAGGGCGCAGGGGGCCCGCAGCAGCCCGGTGACTTACACGCAGGCCAGCCCGGCGTCGGCCGTTCTGAAACAGAACATTATCCCCACGACCTCACCAGGGATGTCGGAACCCCGATATTCAGGGGATGGCATTTCCAGGTCCCCAGCAGGGAGGAATAGCCCAACCCACAGGCACCCGAGTCTGTCTTCTCAGCTGTGTCCTGGAAGGCCGCAGGGCAGTGCCGGGGACCCCCTGGGCTACACACGGCTGTGCTAGGAGCCCCCCGGTGCCCCTGAAGCCTGTGCCTCAAAGGCACAGATGCCTTCCTGACCTTCCCTGGGCCTCACACAGGACAAGCGTGCGGAACCGAGTGAGAGCCTGTGCCTGCGTTCCCCTCTCCTCTCCCTCTCCCTCCCCCCTTCTTGTGGTCTCTCTCTTTCTCTGCTTCTCTCTCCCGCAACTCTCTTCTGGCTCTCTCTTCTCCGTCTCTCTCTCTCTCAGGCTCTCCTAGCAGTGCTCACGGACGGAACTGACTCTCCCCAGCCCAAGAACCTGCATTTTGGGGGGTTATTTTGCTTTCGGGCGACACCCCTTCGGGATACTGCTTATCAAAGATTCTTACTGCTTCTCGTGCACCCTTCTGACCGGGGAGGGGGCCCAGCAGGCTCAGAGCTGACACGACCCCAAGGCCAGCCGGGAGCACTCACTCGGAGCCCGCATCGGCGTCCTGCTCCTGCAGGTCTCGGAGCAGCGCCTTCACCTTCTCCTGGTTCTCCGAGGTCATGTGCAGCCTCTGCAGGGGCACTTTGGCTTCCGAGCGCCACCGGGGCCGCGCTTCCACCCTCTGCCCGCCGCTGCCGCCTCCGCTGCTGCTGCGGGGTCTGCAGGGGACACAGGCGAGCATGCCAGGGGACCGACCGGGAGGCAGCTGGGCCACGGCAGGCACGAGCCCACAGAACCCACACTGAAGCAGACTCGGTCGTTTCCGTGTGGGTTTCGGGTTACGTTTTGGGGGGAAGTACACCCTGCAGTGCTCAGGGCTGACTCCGATTCCATCTGCGTCTCCCCATCCCGTATTCCGCAGAAATGGATGCTGGCTCAGGGGCCAGAGCGACAGTGCAGCAGGGAGGGCGTTCACCTTGCCAGCAATCAGCCCAGGTTCCCTAGCACCCTGTATGGTCCCGAGGACCGCCAGGAGCAATCCCTGAGTGTAGAGCCAGGAGGGAGCCCTGAGCCCCATCGGGTGTGACCCAAAACCAAAAAAGAAATGGACACTGGTTTCACACCTGATGGCCAGGGGGCACAGAGATGGGGCGCAGGCCCCCTCCCGGACGACATACACCCACAAACCCCAGAGCAAAAGCACCTGGAGGCGGAGGGGCGCCGGGAGTCACTGAAGATGCAGAAGTCGTCGCCGTCGTCCCATGTCCTGCTGGAGGCCTTCCTGCTGCCGCCACCACCGCCGCTGCCGCGGGACCTGCCGGCTTGGCCCCGGCCTCCCTTCCCGCCTCGGGAAGACCCCTTGGCCCCGCCTTTGCCCGGCTTGCCTTTCCTTCTCACGGAACTCATGCTGGCCTGCAAGCAAAAGCGCGCAGGTCTCACGGGGCAGGAAGCTCAGGCCACCTGTCAACAGCGCGGATGGCCGCCGCCAGTCTGGAAGAAATCAAGCAAAATGCATCTTATTCACTGACTCATTTTGGGGGTCTGCGCTGCACCTGGGCTGCCCAGGGCTTCCTCTTGGTCTGCGCTGAGGAGCCACGCCTCGTGGGTCAGCTGCATGCAAGACAAGCGCTTTGCCCGCCGTACCGCTGCTCTGGTCAAGCCCCAGCCCTGCACGGTCCCCCGAGGACACCGGGGGAACCCTGGCAGCCACTCCAGCACCGCAAGGTCCAAGCAGCACCTGCTGGCCTGACACTGACCCTTCCAGCCCACAGAGCCATGTCAGACGCGGCCAGGAAGGGCTGCAGGATCTGGGCACTCCCTGGACTCCTTTACCAGCACAGCTGAACTGTTCCAGCTGCAGGACGTCTGATCTAAGCCCTCCTTATTACAAAGCAAACATCTCTGGCAGACAGCCAGAACCACAGGGAACTGTCCAGCGTGACCAGGACACTCAGGGCCTGGTCACCAGCAAAGATCAGGAGGAATTATTGGAGTCCCTGAAGAATGGGAGGAATTCAATAAAGAATCACAGCCAAAGAAATCACAGACAAGAACTTCTTAGAGCGGAGGAAGACAGATGCACACAGGAAAATTCTAAGACACAAATGAAACCAGAAAACAATGCAAAGACAAGGACAAAAAAAGTGAAAGCAAGAAGGTGAATAAAGGAACTTACATACAAAGGAAATCCAGAAGTCACAGCAGATAGATTAAATGAGACCCTACAGGCCACAAAAGAAAAGGGGGTATTGCTTGAAAATCCCAAAACTTCACCAAGAATACTCGATCTAGTTGGGCCAACACTGAGATCTGATGGAACAATACAGAGCTTCGTGGATGGGCAACAGCTTAGGAAGTTCATAGTCTTGAAACCAGTTTTGCAAGAGACATTAAAGGGTCTTCTTCTTCTTCAGGTTTTGGGCCACCCCTGGCAGTGCTCAGGGCTTATTCCTGGTTCTGTGCTCAGGGATCACTCGTGGTGGGCGCGGGGAATCAGATGTGGGGCAGGGGATTGAGCCTGGGTCAGCCGCATGCAAGGCAGATGCCCCACCCGGAGGACTATTGCTCCAGCCCCCAAAGGCGTTTTCTTAAACTGAATCACTGTGTGATAAGCAGCTACAAAGTGGTTCCTGGTTGGGTTTCAGTCATACAGTGTTCCAACACCCGTCTCGCCACCAGTGTATGTTTCCCACCGGTGTTCCCAGTTTCCCTCCCCTCCCACTCCCAAAGGAGCTTCTTTAAGGGACAGGACAAGTCTCTCAAGAGGCTGCCACTGAGCCTGGCACTCACGATGCCTATGGTAGCTCCACTAGACGAAGAAAGCCTGTTTATTCCACGGTTTCCTTTCACGAACATTAGCCAAGCAGCACAAACGCTGGCCGACTTCGACCGTGAGTGTGGAAAGGTCGGACCACAGCTGAACCTTATGAAGACAATGTTCATGAAAAACAGACTTGTTCCTGACGTTCCATTTGATTTCAACGGAACGAACACCTCCAAATGCAGCAGTTACGTGTACCTAGGTCGAGAATTCAACATGACGAACAACCTGGCACCTGAGCTGCGCAGGAGGAAGAGAGCGGCTTGGAACGCCTTCAAAAGCGTCGAAGAAATAGCTAAGAGGACGAAGAACCTCCGGCTCCGGGCACATCTCTTCGATTCCACTGTTCTTCCTGCATTAACATACGCCTCTGAGACCTGGGCCCTACGCAAACAGGATGAGAACACTATTCGGGTCTCCCAAAGAGGAATCGAAAGAGCTGTGCTTGGAGTATCACACTTCACTCAAGTGAGAGAAGGAATCCGGAGTTCTGACCTCCACTGACGATCGGGAATCAGGGACGCTGTTTTGTTTGCCAAGGTGTCGAAAATCAGATGGGCCGGACACGTAATGCAATTTGGAGATGACCGCTGAACTAGAGCCATTACTGACTGGATTCCACGGGACGTCGAAAGATTGCATGGCCGCCCACCTACAAGATGGTCAGATTTCTTCGTCAAGATCCTGAATGAATGGTTTGAGGCTCTTCGTGTTCCTGGAGCGAGCAGATGCCATTGGGCTACACTAGCATGCTACAGGGACAAATGGAGATGTTACTGGTGCCCGCTCGAGCAAATCGATGAATAACGGGATGTCAAGTGATCCTTTCCACAAACCTTCATGATTTTATGTAAGAGACCATCTGTATCAGCCGGGGGGAACCAGCGCTGGCCACTGAGAGGCATGCACCCTGACATCGACATTCTCTCGGCCCAAACATAAATTTTCTGCTTGTTTCCTAATGTTGGCCCAGAAAGCTCCCTGTTGCAAGACTCGACAGATTTTTTGCTTTGTTTCTGGGTCCCACCCAATGGTGCTCAGGGCTGACTCCTGGCTCTGTGCTCAGGGGTGACTCCGAGTGGGGCTCAAGGGACCACGTGGTGCCGGGTGCAAGCGACCTGCCCGCTGTTCTACGGCTCCGGCCCAAGCCTGCATTTTAAGAGTACGATGGAGTACACGCGTCTTTGGAAAGTACGCACCCTACAACGCCACAGCGACGGACAAGAGCCCTCCCGCCAGCTGGACCCCATGCAGTCTGTCAAGGCCCGGCCTGCTGCCCCTCGGGCCTGTGGTCAGTCTGAGGGTTTGGGACTGTCTGGCCTTGTCTGTGCCCACGGGTTTCCTCCTAGATCGCAGAGAAGCGTCCAGGACTGGTCTTCCCCTTCGGCCCATATTGGCTGAGCATAAACTCCAGGTCCACTCAGGGGCCGAGGGCAAGAGTCCACCCTCCAGAGGAAGAGTCTCCGCCGGGTGTCCAGACTGTGTGCTCTGCATCCGCGTGTCCCGCTGTGGACAACAGTGGCTACTGTGACGAAAGCAGCGGTGAGCGCCAACAGGCAGATGCCTCAGAGAGAGCCGTCAGGTTGCCCGGCTGGGTGCAGGGTGACCTGTGTCCCTTAGACAGACTCGGGCAGGAGAGGATCGGCTGGGCAGTCCAGGCCGGAGGCGGGATGCTCGCAGGGAGCTGAAAACTGAGTCTTCACAGGGAGCAAAGTCAAACGGCGTCACTCGCTCCTCTAGCACCCTTGCCGTGACGTAAAGGAATGAAGTCTGGAGAGAGGGTCCACGGCATCCCTTTCCCAGTCCCCGCCCTGCCCAAGGCCCAGCACCCAACCCACCCACAGCCGGGCGCTGCCAGAGGAACGACCCAGCTGCACGGCTGACCCCAGTTGCCGATGGCCCAGCTCCAACGCCCGGACAGAGAACAGGCGCATACTGGTCGGGAAACACCTCCAAACTTCATGGAGACAGCCCAGGAGAAGCACAGAAAGTGAGATGGGAAAAGGGAGTTGAGTGCCCGCGCAGAGAGTGGAAACAGCACCCAGAAGGCCCAGGTTAGCCCAACAGCTGCGGACCCTCAGGCTGGGCCCTCAGCAACACAGTGACAAGACAGAGGTTGGGACAAGGAGACAAAGGAAACTTTTATGCCTCGTAAGGGAGCAGGCTGGGGGTGGGAGGGAAACGGGAGACACTGGTAGAGGGAAGGGCACATGGGTGGTGGCGCCGGGGGTGGAAAACACTCAGTATCTGGAACAACTGGACCCTGAACTCTGTAATCACCAATGTTTAGAAAGTTCAAGCTAAAAAAAAAAAAATCCAACCATTTGACCCAAGAACTGAAACCCACCATATCCTCTTCTCTCTCTCTCCCGCTCCCTCCACACCCCCACCTTCAATTCAGAATCTACGGGTGGGTTGGCCCCACTTTGGCTCGTTCCTGAGTGCTCATGGATCAAGGTGAAAGGGATAGGAGAGGTGAGTGCACTGCAAGCCATCCTGTCCTCCCTGGGGTCCCTAGAGAGGACATGCCGCAGGGGAGGTGCTGGTGCCAGGGCATGCCACACTGGCCCCTGGCAAACTCCAGACAGGACCCGGCATGCCAGGCCTGGGAAGTTCCAGGGTCAGGGCAGGCCACGGCAGGCCCCGGGCTGGGGACAGAAGAAAATGAGGGCGAGCACAGGCCAGTCTTTTGGGGGGGCTCCTGCAGTGAATGAAGACAGGGCAGGGCAGGGCAGTTCAGTACTGGCCGCCGCTGGGGCAAGGGACTTCCCCGCTTGCCTGTCGCCTCCCTGTGAGCACTCCTTCCCCAGGAGACGCGGTGGCTTGGCATGCAAGGGCAGGACCGAGGAGAAAGGGACTGGCTGGGTGCAGAGAGCAAGCGTCCACTCCCAGTTGAGCCGGCCTCTGCTGGCCCAGAGAGCGACTTCCTTTCCTTCCGGTGTTTTTCCGGCCTTGGGGCCATACACGGGAGTGCTCAGGGATCGCCCCGAGGAGCTGGGGGACCAGATGGGATGCGGGATGGGACCCTGCAGCCCGGACCTACTCACGCCGGGGTGGAGGCACCGGGCTGCAGGGGCGCCGACAGGTGTCACTGCTCTGTCCCGCCTGGACCGCGGAGCTGGCCACTGTGTCCGCCTGGACGTTCTAACGCAAAGATCTAGGCTGCTCCGCGCCCCCAGACCCTCCAGTCCGTGAAACAAGCAGCCGGGGGGGGGTCCGCGGTCAAGAAACCCCGGCTTGGGGCTGGAGCCACAGCACGGCGGAGGGGCGTTGGCCCTGCACGCGGCCGGCCCGGGTTCGACCCCCGGCGTCCCACGTGGTCCCCCGAGCACTGCCGGGGGTCGTTCCTGAGCGCAGAGCCAGGAGGGACCCAAAGAGCCAGAAGCAAGAAGAAGAAGAAAGAGAAGGACCCTCCGGCCGGGGGTCCCGCCGCGCGCACGCCCCCCTCGCCGGCCCCCCGCCCGCCGCGCCCGACTCACCGGCCCAGGGCCCGGGCCCGCGAGGACGCGCCCCCGCGAGGGCTCGAGGGCTCCGGGGCGCGCGCGCGGCGCCTCCTCCGGGCGGCCGGGCCGAGGGGCTGCCCGGGTCGCGGGTCCGGCCCGCGCCCCCCGCACCTGCAGCCGCCGCGCCGCGGGCCCGCGCCGTCGCCCCGCCCCCCGCCCCCCGATTGGCCGCGCCTCGGCCCGGCATCCACTTCCGGGCATCCACTTCCGGGGCGACGCCCGGCCCCGCCCCCGCGCGTCCGCTTCCGGGGGAGCGCCCTGGCAACGGTCGCCCTGGCAACGGGAGACGCGCCGGGCGGGCAGCGCGCAGCGCCGCGGAGCTGGCGGCCCCCGGGGAGCGGCTGAGCAGCGCCCGCGTGTCCCAGGCCTCCCTGCGGAGTGAGTGGCGCGACCCCGCCTCGCGTCCTGCTTTCGGCCGCCCCGCGCCCTGCGGCCCGGTCCGGGGTCGCCCCCGCTGCCCCCGGCCCCCGCGGCCGCGCAGTCTCACCCACCCCCCACCCCGTCCTGGAAACGGGCTTCGCAGCGGCGCGTCGGGGCAGGACAGTTGCGTCCTGTGCGGGGGGCCCGGGCTGCCCCCCGCGGCCCCGCCAGGAGGGAGCCCCTCCCCCAGCACGGCCCGGTGCGGCCCCCCAAAGCCAAGCGAAGACAAACGCGGAACCGGGAGGGCAGGGGCTGGAGCTGCGCTAGAATCCGTGGGAGGCTCCGGGCCCTGCGAACAAACCCCAGAAGGCGTGCTTCCGTTTATTTATTTATTTATTTTTGCTTTCTGGGTCACGCCCGCGATGCCCAGGGGCTCCTCCTGGCTCTGCGCTCAGGAATCGCTCCTGGCGGTGCTGGGGGGACCCTAGGGGATGCGGGGAATCGAACCCGGGTCCACCGCGTGCAAGGCCAACGCCCTCCCCGCTGTGCTATCGCTCCAGGTGTGCTTTTAAAAGGGAGGTGAATCGGGTCCCCCGAGCACCGCCAGGAGCGATTCCTGAGCGCAGAGCCAGAATCCGGGGGTGACCCAAAAAGCAAATAAGTAAATAAAAGAGAGGTGAATTATAAATGAATAAAATGGTTATAAAAGTATTCCGGACGGAATGATTTGGCCAGAGCTCCTGTTAGACGAAATGCCCTTGACCCAGGATGCTTGGCCCTGACCCGCAGGCTGACTCTTAGAACACCTTGTCACGGGCGTGTCAGAGACAGATCATTCCATTTAAGTGACTCCTCTTCGTTTGTTTTAAAGCTGCTGAAGAAGTATCTAAGATAAACTTTATTTTTCCAAATGGAGACAAGTACGGTAAGTGGACCTTTCAACTTTTGGAGATACGGACTAAAATGAAATAGCTTAGGAGTGAACTGTGAGGCTAGACTTGAAACAGTTCATAAAACAGCTCTTAAGTCCATCGAAAAGCTAAGCTGGAAATACAAGTAGATAAGCAGGTTTGACTTGGGGGCCTGGCCTGCCCAGCAGCCCTCAGGGGCCACTCCCTGTGAGACTTGGCCTGATTGTGGGTGTCTAACGGTCTTGAGCCGAGGATGTGGTGTGCTCGGATGCCCCCCGCGATGCCCAGGGGTTCCTCCTGGCTCTGCACTCACCGCTACACCTGGCACTGCACAGGGGTCATGTGGTATTGGGAATCAAACTCGGGACCTCCCGCTCACCAGGTGTGAGTGCCAACCCTTCGATCTATTTCCCTGGCCCCAGATGAATATACTTGAAATATTAACTCTCACAGTAAGGCTAGCAGCGTGAGTGTTATGCCTTAACTCTGGAGTCGGTCAGCCTCCAGGGGCTGTATTTCTCAGTGGTCTGGCAACTCTCTGGCCCTATCTCTGGACTCACTGGTTAGTTGCAGTGTGAAGGAGCCCGGGTGGCTGGCCACAGAGGGTGGGCCTGTAGTGTGTGGGCCTGGGCATGTGTACTTGGTCAGACAAATCTTAGCCAGTGCTCCAACTTAGAATTCCCAGTATTCCTCTCTTCTTAGATGGTGAGTGTACAAGAACGTCAGCTGGAATTGTTGAGAGAAACGGAATAGGTACTCATAGCACCCCGAACGGGATCGTCTACACTGGAAGCTGGAAAGATGACAAGGTATCATTGTTGTCTTAAGTGCTGACAGGAAATGAGCCATTTTCTGATGAGATTATTCCAGGCATTTTGCCACTCAGAACACATCTGAGGAAGCTGGGCCATTTAAAAAGTCAGATGGTTATGTTTAAGACACGAGCATCAGAGTAATATTGAATTCATCCACATGGGTAGTTAGAGCCTGGCTTCTTCATTTCTCCTGCTCACCGAGTCAAGCTAAGCCCAGCACATGATTTTCTCATTACATCCGTGTAGCATTCACAAGAGGTAGGACCATTAGCCCCATTTTATTTGATTTTGGCGTTAGTTTTTGGGTCACACCCAGTGGTGCTCAAGGCTTACTCCTGACTCTGTGCTCAGGGATCACTCCTGGTAGGCCTAAGGGAACATATGTGGTGCTGGGGATTGAATCCAGGTCACTCGCATGCGAGACAAGTGCCCTCCCCGCTGTACTTTCTCCAGTTCCCAATAGTCCTGTTTTATTAATGACTGAACGCAATTCAGATTTCTTGTCCAATGAGAATGTGTGCCTAGGTGGGCTTAAAAGCATGTGTGTCTTTCTTTACAACTCTGAGTACAGGTGTCTGGGCTGGCCGAACCGTTTTTTTCTTTAGGATTTCTGGTATTTTCAAGATACCTTGTGTGTAAACACACAAAAAAGGACGGGCAAGGGGACCAGCAGCCTATCTCTCCCGCCGCCCGCATTCGGTAGTCTCAGGCCGTTTCCCCACTCCACGGAGGTTGATGACGATGGTCAGGCGAAGGAAGGAAACAGGGGCCAAGCTGGTTGGTCTTAGCAGCAGATTATTACATGGAAGAGATGTATGTCGTGGAGGCCCCAGGATCTCTCAAGCACGTGCGCCTTTCTTCTCTCAGCTTCAGTCCTCAGCCCCGTCTTCCCAGGTTCTCTGATGCACTGTTCCCCAGAGAGCCCTGAAATCTCCCTTATATAGATCATAGTACCTCTAAAGGGTGCAATACAGTGATGTCATCAAAAGGAGTTACAGAAAGAACATTGAGGCAGCAAAACATACATTGTTTCTTTACACCCACCAGCCGGTAATCTTGGCCTCACCTTTTACAAGCTACAAGCACTTGGATTTGCAGAACAAAGACCAGTCTGCTAGAGCTTGGAATCTACATCTCCAAGATCAGCCTGCCTGGAGCCAGGCATCTACATCCCCAAGATCAGGCCTGGTTTAGCACCTGGGATCTGCATACCTAAGACCAGCTAGGTTCCTGTGAGCTAAGGGAAACTGCCTCAATATACTGAAATCATTTACTGAAGGCAGTTTGAAGGGGAGAAAGTTCAGTCTCATCCAAGCTAGTCAGGACACACGGGAAAACTGCTGCTAGGACAGATCAACCCACCGTAGAACAGATTTCCCTGGGTGTGTTTCTCCTCTCCTTGTCCGACCAACATATAAGCATACATAATATAAATCATTTTGTATGGACACAGTAAGAAATACTTTGAGCTCATAGAATTGCTCTCCCAGGGCCATCTCGATCTCAGACTGCCGTGCTCAGGCCAGATATCTTTCCTATTCTTAGCAGCAGGGTCCTAGTCTCGTCGTTACTTTTAGATCACGACAGCATTTGTCTATGATCAAACTCTTATAGTTAAGAATCGTGGCACCTTGGCCTGGCCCATCGCGATGCCAGGGTAGCACATAACTTATCAGCTTGCCCTGGTTCCATCCAGTCCCACGTCGGGACCCTGCCCTTGGGGTGCTAGGAAGTGAGGGCAACTGAGGCTTAAGTTGAGAAAGCAGATGCCCGGGAGTGAATAATATTCAAAGCCAATCAACTCCTAAGTTACAAAGCATAATATTAATTAATTGTCTTCCTGTATCTCTACAAAAAGGACATTGCATTAAAGTAAACTGCTCAAAAGACATAAAGAGAGGAGAAAGGCAATATTAACTTACAGTACTGCTTCAGTGTCTAAGAAGGATGAGACCTTACAAATTGGTTGGGGAAAAGAGCACAAGGAAGTAGTTACAGACAAACGTTGTAATGGGAATGACTCGGGAGCACTGTGATGGGTGCAACCTGATAAACCTAAGCTCCTTGTATTCCAGCAATCTTGCAGACCCCCATTATCATCATGGGACCCCTTGCTGCTCATATGCCCAGGTCAGGACCATTTGACTTCATGTGAAGGACATGATCAAGCATCATTTTGTTCGGTTTTAGACCACATTTGGCAATGCTCATGGCTTGCTCTGTCTATATATGTATATAGATTGCTTTATGGTTATATCATGATATAGGTATCATATGGCGATGCTCAGGGGTCCTTCCTGGCTCTGCACTGAGGAATTACCCTGGTGGTGCTCAGGGGACCATATGGGATGCTGGGAATTGAACCCGGATCGGCCGCGTGCAAGACAAACACCCTACCCGCGATGCTATTGCTCCAGCCCCATTACTCTTTATATATTTTTTAAAGATCTTTTTATTGGATCACTGTGAGGTCGACCCTGACAAAGCTGTTCATGATTAGGTTTCAGTCACACAGTGTCCCAACACCAGTGTACATTTTCTAGCACCAGTGTCCCCAGTTTCTATCACCCCCAACCCCCAACCTGCCTCTATGACAAGCATTTCTCCTCTCTCTCTCTCTCTCTCTCTCTCCCTATCCCTATCCCCCCCCCCAGCATAGTGGTTTGTAATACAGATACCGAAAAGCTACCAAGTTTGTCCTTTTACCTACTTTCAGCTTTTGTCAGTGTGATCATTCGCAGCTCTTATTGCCACAGCGGTCCCTTCTCTATCGCACTACCCTCCTCGTGCTTGCTTTTGTCTCTAAATCAGCGATGAGTCCTACTGGGGCTCCGGGGAGTGTGTGGGGCACCAGGCACCAAACCCAGGTCTGCCATGTGCAGGGCAAGTGCCCGCCCACTGTCCAACATGTTTCTAGAAATGAAGGATAATGCAACGAAAGATTAAATTAGGTGTATCATAGATATAGGTGTTCAATTTTGATGGGTACCAGGGAAACAGAATTAGTTACTAAGGTCATTTCCTTGATTCTAAACAGATGAATGGCTTTGGAAGATTACAACATTTTTCAGGTGCAGTATACGAAGGACAGTTTAAAGACAATATGTTTCATGGAGTGGGGACTTACACATTTCCAACAGGGGCAAAGTACACTGGAAATTTCAATGAAAATAGGTAAGGTAAACATGAAAATTCTTCCTGTAATTCTTAAAGATTCTTTCAAGGTATAATTGCTTAAGTACTATATATATGTGTGTGTGTATATATATCACAGTCACGGTCCTCCCGTTGTTCATCGATTTGCTCGAGCGGGCCCAGTAAGGTCTCTATCATGAGACTTTGTTGTTACTGTGTCTGGCATATCGAATACTTCACGGGGAGCTTGCCAGGCTCTGCCGTGCGGGCGAGATACTCTCGGTAGCTTGCCGGGCTCTCCGAGAGGGGCGGAGGAATCGAACTCGGGTCGGCCATGTTGGCTGCGTGCAAGGCAAACGCCCTACCGCTGTGCTATCACTCCAGACCCAGTTATCACTATTTAAAAATATATTTAATTAAAATAGATATTTAAAATATATGAAATGTATTTATATATTGGGGGCTGGAGCGATAGCACAGCGGTAGGGCGTTCGCCTTACAAGCGGCCAACATGGCTGACCCGAGTTCAATTCCCCCGCCCCTCTTGAAGAGCCCGGCAAGCTACTGAGAGTACCTCGTCCGCACGGCAGAGCCCGGCAAGCTCCCCGTGACGTATTCGATATGCCAAACACAGTAACAACAAAGTCTCCAATGGAGACGTTACTGGGCCCGCTCGAGCAAATCGACGATCAACGGGAGGGCCTTTACCTTTTTATTTATATATTAATACCTATGTATATTTTAAATGTGTTCATTAGAATATAATACATTGTTAGAGTGGTGGAGTCATTTGGGGAGGGGGAGATAGTCTACAAAGGCTAAGACCTCAGGTGCTGGGGGGAGAAGGCAGTCAGGACAGAGAAGGGACCACCATGACAAAGAGAGTTGGAAAGGACCACTCTGAGTAAGAACTGTGTGCTGAAAGGAGGTGAAGGGACACACATGCTAACCTCTCAGTGCCTGCATTGCAAACCCTCGTGCCCCGAAGGAGTAGGCAGAGAGGAGGGGGGAAGTGCCTGCCATGGAGCAGGCTGGGGAGGGGTGGTGACGGGAGGGAAACTGGGAACCACTGGGAGCAGTGGTGGTGGGAAATGGACACTGGGGAAGGAACTGGTGTTGGAAGATTGTATGCCTGAACCCAACCCAGCCGTGAACGGCTTTGTGACTGTGTATCTCACAGTGATTCAATTAAACAAACAAACAAACAAAAAATGGTTAAGATCAGCCTGAACCTCTGAAAGAAAATAGAATTTTTGCTGGTAACCTACTAGAGATTTCATTGCTGGTGATTTGCCAGAGATTTCATTTGTTTCTCGACTCCCGTTCCTATAAGACTTTCATAGTCAGTGCCGACATGGAAAATCTGTTGGAATTATTGAGAAAATCTATGCCCCCAATTCCTCTCACTTGTCCTTTGCTCTTTTTTGGGCGGGGGGGTGTCACACCCAGTGATGCTCAGGGGTTTCTGTTGCTCTGCACTCAGGACTTACTCCTGGTGGTGCTTGGGGGACCCTGTGGGATGCTGGGGATCGAACCTGGGTCGGCTGCACACAAGACAAAGGCCCTCCCCGCTGTACTATCACTCCAGCTCGTCTTTCCTTTTTTGTTTGGACGCCCCCTGGTGGTACTCAAGACCCTCCAGCTCAGTGCCCTGGGAGGGGCAGTACGGACCCCACTCGCAAAGCCCGTGCTCCAGCCCTTTAAGCTCTCTCCCTGCCCCTTTGGAGATAATTTTATAATTCTTTCATTGGACATGATTTTTCTGAGGCATTTTTTCAAGTTGTTGCTTGTTTGTTTGTTTGTTTATTTGTTTTGGGGTCACACCCAGTGATGCTCAGGGGTTACTCCTGACTCTGTGCTCAGGGCTCACTCCAGCAGTCTATTGCACGCTGCGCAATCTCACCTGAATTCTTGCTCTTGGTCAATGAACAAACTGGTCTTTCCTGCTGCAGGGTGGCTGGCGAGGGGCAGTACACCGACATCCACGGGCTGGAGTGGTTCGGCAGCTTCCACTTCACCTCTGCTCCAGGCCTGAGACTCAAGATCCTCATGTAACGCCTCCCAGAATTCGAACTCATCCAAGCGCTCCAAGGAGGACATGGGAAACCTGGGAAACCGTTACTCAGTGTTCCACATGATGTTGCTGCTTCTCGCTTAGAATTTTACCAATAAAGCCACGTGCCATTTTCAGTTTTATTTGTATCTCATAGTTTGTTTGTTTGTTTGTTTGTTTTGCTTTTTGGGTCACACCCAGCGAAGCACAGGACTTACTTCTGGCTCTGCACTCAGGAATTACCCCTGGCGCTGCTCAGGGGACCATATGGGATGCTGGGAATCGAACCCGGGTCGGCCGCGTGCAAGGCAGACGCCCTACCCACTGTGCTATTGCTCCAGCCCCTATCATAGTTTATTTAAACTGTGGTTCAGTTGAGAGTGCTTGTTTTATTTTTATTTTATTTTATTTTTATTTTAAGCCACTAGTATTTTGGGATAGTTTGTTCTATAGCAATAAAAAATAAAACCAGAAATTGATATTTGGAAGTAGGTCTTGCCGTAATAAAAACAGGTAACAATGGCTTTGGGATTGGATAGGGAGCAGAAGCTATAAGGTCATATAGGAGATTGTTAGTGAAGTTTGAAGGTGGAGAGAATGTCAGGGGGCGATAGCACAGCGGTAGGGTGTTTGCCTTGCACGCAGCCAGCATGGCCGACCCAAGTTCGATTCCTCCGCCCCTCAAGCTACCGAGAGTATCTCGCCCGCACGGCAGAGCCTGGCAAGCCACCCGTGACGTATTTGATATGCCAGACACAGTAACAACAAAGTCTTCAATAGAGACGTTACTGGGCCCGCTCGAGCAAATCGATGAACAACGGGAGGGCCTTTACCTATAGTGGAAAGTTTGACATTTCCTATACTGACATGGAAAACAGAAAATGTGAGGAATACACCTATTTGGCAAAGATTTCTTTATTTTATTTTATTTTTCGTTTTTTGGGTCACACCTGGCGATGCACAGAGGTTACGCCTGGCTCTGTGTTCAGGAATTACCCCTGGCGATACTCAGGGGACCATAGGGGATGCTGGGAATCGAACTCTGGTTGGCCGCACACAAGGCAAACACCCTACCGCTGTGCTACTGCTCCAGCCCCTGGCAAAGAGATTTCTAAGAAGAAGACAGTGGCGACGATTTCTGTTTGTTCTTTGGATATGTATGGTACGTGCTAATAGCAAGAAATCAACATTTTCCATTTATTTTATTATTATGGTGATTTTTTTGCTTTTTGGGTAACACCTGGTGATGCTTAGGGGTTACTCCTGGCTCTGCACTCAGGAATTAACTCCTGGTGGTGCTCAAAGGACCGTATGGGATGCTGGGAATCGAACCCGGGTCGGTCGCGTGCAAGGCAAATGCCCTTCTGCTGTGCTGTCGCTCCAGTCCCCAGAAGTATTCCATTTTAAAGCAGATTTTGATTAAATATTATTAACCTTAAACTAATGGGTTGGAAAATAAGTGTTTCTCATTCGCAGTTCGCTCATCAGCAATATTCCCACAAAATAGTTTCAACTGAAAGTGCTCCGTTTTAATAAATGCGCAGAACTTTACAATCTTGGCAGTCAGTGGCCAGCTCTCTGCCGGAGTTCGGTCATGTCCTGCTTTTCAGAGTTCTTATTAAGCCACTTCTAGCTTTTGTTTTGATTTGGGGGTTCACACCAGATGATGCTTATGTGCTGGGCTGGGGACTATACAGTCCTGGGGTGAGCCCAGGCCTCCCACGTGTCAGCGTGCCCTCGGTCCATTCAGCACTTCCGGGCCCAAGCCCCATGGATGTATGCGTGTGTTTGTTTCTTTGTTAGTCTTGGGGCCCCAGCAGCCAAGCCAGGGCTGGACTCCTGGCTGGGTGCTCAGGGCTCATTCCTGTGCCCGGGAAACCACTTACATTGTTGGGACTGAACTCGGTCTGCCACAGACAAGCCAACTGCTTGGATCCATTTGTATTTTCTCACTAAAAATCACAGTTTTGGGGGTTCGTTTTGGGGCCACACCTAGCAGTGCTCAGGGCTTTCTCCTGGCTCTGCATTCAGGGATCCCGTCTGGTGGGGCTCAGGGGCCCATATGGGACACTCCGGATAGAACCCAGGTCAGCTGTGTGCGAGGCAAGCACCCTACCGCACTGTACCATTAACTCTGGCCCCCAAAGTGAGATCTTTCTGGACTGTCCTTGAGATTCACATACGGTCTTAGGAACATATGGTCTTAGGGTGAGATATTTTTGTGCTATTTATAAGAATTTTATACTTAAGCAGTTCTGAATAGGACAAGCTAGAATAAGGCAGAAAAGATGCTTCCACGGACCAGAACATATAATGCAAACTCAAAAGGTACAGAAAACATAGAAAAATATCCACTGCACAAGAAAGTCCCCCATCTCCCCCTGGAATAATTAGAGGCATTGATCTATGTGCTCTTTAAGTATTTGCTGTTCTCACTGACGGCAAAATAGCTTTTCAGGGTTAAGGTTTCCAGTTCTCTCAGATACCAGCCGTCCCCTGAAGCCCTTTCTTTTTTTCCTCGTTGGAGCTGAACCATTCAGTTATTTGATTAGTTGGTGCTGGAGTGTGACCTGGAGCTTATATAATTAGAGGAACGCTGCTTTTCCTCATTTAAAAACCTAGTTGGCATCTGACTGTTTCTGGGGAAGTCAAACCTCTCCACTGCTTTTTTTTTTTTTAATAAGCTTCAAGTTAATTGAGAATTCAGAGAGCTGGAGGGTGCGAGCCAGGCAGGCAGCGTGAGGTGAGTACGCTCTTCTTTGAGTTCCAGAGAGGCAGGGAAGGGGGGTCCCGGCGGTGAGGAAGGCAGTCTCCTCCGCTCTTGCTAATTTAGATTAATTTATCAAAACATGCTAATGCCCTTCTCCAGCTGGCCTTAAGCAGTCCCAGCGAAATACTGAATTTCTCACTTTGTTTTCTTATTTCCGCTGCCTTTCTGGGGCCTCAGCAAATGAGGTGTTTGGGGACCCAAGAGCCTTTTGCAGATTTATGCACTCAGTGGGAGCTGAGTGAAGTTCTGGGAAGAGCATTAAAGAAAGCGTCAGGGGTCTTCACCGAGGAGGCAGCCAGTGTCCAGCCTGAGAACGCCTCTCTGGTGCCGAGAATAAGGAGTGGCAGGCCGGGGACAGAGCGGGCTTCATGTGCACCTTTTGGAACAAAGCCTAGATGAGTCTGTCGGTGTTGCTGGGAACAAAGGTGTGTGGGGAGAAGCACGGGGCATTTTTGAGACAGATTCAAACTAGGCTCGGGGAGCATGGTGTGGAGAAACGGGCTTCGCTTGTTTGCTTTCTATTCTTTCAGGGGGGTTGTTTTGGGGCCACACCGGGGATGCTGAGGCCTGACTCCTGGCTCTGTGCTCAGGGACCACTCCTGGTAGGGCCCGGAGGACCACATCAGGTGCCGGGGATTAAAGCCGGGTCTGCCGCGTGCAAGGCCAACGCCCTCCCCGCTGGTCTGTCGCTCGGGCCCCGACGGCTTTCTATTCTCAAGTGAGAAGGGACGTCTGGTAATTCGTATTAGAATTATTTGCAGTTTCCTATGTTGCAATAAAAGCATTCTGCAGATAAGGAAGTTTGTATCACTCTTTTGTCTTTTTTCATTCCTCCTTTGAGGAATTGAAAGTTACATGCTGAAATTCACACAGCCCCTCCACTGAAGGCACTTCTGCAGGATTTGACAGTCAGAAATGTACAACCGGAGAAGTAACTTTGGATACTGTTAGTCTCAGGAATTTCCATGGGTTTCATAAACATCTATTTTTATCAATACATGGGCGGGGAGAGCGCTCACTGGGCTGAGCCTGTAGAGCCTCCCTGGGCCACGGCTGGGACTGAGCCCTGAGCACTGGGCCAGGAGTAGCCCCTGAGCACCCCAGGGGGTGGCCCCCAAACAAAAGAACTGAGCCTGTGTGGTTGAGCACCTTCCTTCCAGAAGGTTCTGGAGTTAGACAGCGTTCTCAGAGCCCTTGCTTTATTTTGCAGCCAGTGATGCTCAGGGCTACTCCGGGCTGGGCGCGGGGGTTACTCCAAGCTGAGCTTGGGGGTCCGCGTGGTCCCTGGTGGCAAAGCGCGTTCTCTGCTCGTCAGTACGCCCGGACCTGAATAGGAGAGCCCCTTGGATAAGTGTCACCAACACTGGGAGTTTTGTTTGTGGGGTGCAACGCCCTGCCATGCTCAGGGCTTACCCTGGCTCGGGGGACCCTCGGGGGTGCTGGGGAATGAACCCGGGTCACCGCATGCAAGGAAACGCCTCACCCACCCCACCCCAAATTTCACCTACGTTGGGTTGCTTTGATCAAGACGGAATTGAGGAGCCGTGTGGGTTGTCTCCTGGCCCTCTTGCTCCTCTGAGGGTACGTGGGCACAGCATCACCGCCGTGGACAGACCCCCGAGTCCCCCTTTCTCTCCTTCCCTCCCTCCCTCTCTCGTTCTTGCCTCTCCTACTTGCGTCCCTCACCTTTTTTGTGTTTTTTGGTCCACACTTGACAGTGCTCAGGGCTTACTCCTGGCAGTGCTCGCAGACGTTACTGTGTGCCGGGGATCAAACCCAGGTCAGTTGGGTGCAAGGCCAACACCTTCCCCACTATACCATCACTTAAGCCTCCCTTTTCCTTTAATGGAAGTGACTTTTTAGCCTCTTTGGGATCAAGGATTACTGCTTAAATGTTTTAAAATAAGACCTGGAGAGGTAGCACAGGGGTCAGGTGACTGCCTCATGCACAGCTGACGTGGGTTTGAACCCCAACAGCCCCTGGAGCCCCACCAGGAGTGATCCCTGAGCACCACCCAGTGTGGCCCCAAAACAGACGAGAAGAAAAGCCTGTCCTTTCTGCAAAACAAAGCCATGCAGATGTTTGCAGATGTTTCAGGAGATCAGCGGCCTTGGGAGCGCGTCCAGGGACCCTGATCGGGGCCTCTGGGCACTGCTGCAGGCGGCTTAGAAACGCACAAGCCACAAGCCTCTGTCCTGAAGTTTCAGGCCAGGAGCGAGTGGCAGCCGTTCTTTGGTTCTGGAAATGTAGCCAACGGTTCCTGCTCAGCTGGTTGAAGGGCTTCAGGGAAGTCGCGTCAGCCCCGTGACCCCCGACTCCCCGGGTGCTTTGATCAGTTTCCAGCGACTGCCCCCCCCCCCCCCCCCGTGTGTCCCCAAAGCCTGCACTGCCCCTCAGTGCTTCACAGAAAGCCGAGTCAACCCGAGAGTCTGAGAGTCCTGTGGGAAGATGCCGCCCCCAACTGTGATGTAGAGCTGGGGGCGGGGTGGGTGGGTGGCTGCTTGCACCTGAGGGGCCCCTCTCCTTAAAGTGATGAACAGAGAGTGGGTAGGAGGCCCAGCTTGGGGGAGGGCACACGTTGTAGGGCTGGGGGGTCCCCAACAATTAATTGCCCTGATGCCAGGCCAGCCCTCTCCTCCCATGCTGCCCTGGCTTCAGTGAGGAGATGTGGATTCTCTCAGAAAGCTGTGACCCCCTCACAGTCCTCTGGGCCTTTTTTTCCCCGGGGGACTCCCAAGCAGTGCTAGGGTCGCCGAGGGCCCCTCCTGATGGTTTGGCCCATTGGGCCCTTGGCTACTGGGGCTCTCTGTGTTCTGGGGCCGCCCAAATCTCCCTGGAGGTGCTGGGGATTCTCCAGGTCGCACCCAAAGATGTTGGGGGGCTCGTGGGGGCGTGGTGGGCCGTGCAGTGTCTTTGTCCCCAACTCTCCTGGTTCCAGAAAGGGGACAGAAACCAAACTTGCGCGAATGGGGGCCTTGGTGTGGGCCCTGGGCAGGGCGGGGTGGCGCCTTTCCCGCCTGAGCTGTGGCTGAGCCTGGGTCCCAGGCTGCATAGGGAGGCAGAGCCCAGGCTCCTGCAGTCACAGATAAACTCACGAGTACAACACTCTCCTTTTAGTTTCCTAGTTCAAATGAGGAGAGACCAAGTTTTTAAAAATCTGCTTTGGGGGCTGGAGCAATAGTATAGCAGGGGGCGCGTTTGCCTTCTACGCGGCCGACCCGGGTTCGATTCCCAGCATCCCATATGCTCCCCCAAGCACCGCCAGGAGTAACCCCTGAGCGCAGAGCCAGGAGTAACCCCTGAACATCGCTGGGTGTGACCCAAAAAAAGCAAGATAAATAAGTAAATAAAACTCTATTTGGGGGGCTGGAGGGATAGCACAGTGGGTAGGGCGTTTGCCTTGCACAAAGCCCGCCGGGGTTCGATTCCCAGCGTCCCATATGGTCCCCCAAGCACCGCCAGGGGTAATTCCTGAGTGTATGAGCCAGGAGTAACCCTGAGCATCGCCGGGTGTGACCCAAAAAGCAAATAAAATAAAATAAAATAATTAAAAAAAAAACTCTACTTGGGGGCCTTCAGAGAAGGCACTTGCCTTGCGCATGGCCAACTCCGGTTTCATTCCATCACCCCATAGGGTCCCCCAGCCTCCACCAGGAGAAACCCCTGAACTCAGAGCCAGGAGTGAGCCCTGAGCACTGCAGGGTATGACCCAAAACCAGAAGAAAGAGAAGAAAAGAAAAAGCTTGTTGGGGCAGGAGCGCCAGTACAGTGGGGAGAGTGTTCGCCTTGCCCCGGCCCACCCTGGTTGGTTCCCGGCACCCATATGGTCCCCCGAGTGCCACAGGGGCACAGGGGTGATTCTTAAGTGCAGGGAGAGGAGTGACCCTGAGCATTGCCGGCTGTGGCCCCCAAACAAACGAAGAGTGCTTGTCCTGAGTGCATCTGACCCCAGCTCATCCTGCACAGTGCCAGGGCTCGGACCCAGGGCCTCAAGCGTGCCCAGGAGCCATCGCCCCGGCCCTGCTGACCCTCTCATAGTTGGCTTCCTACTTCTGAGTCGCAGGGCTACCTCTTTGTGGCAGGGCAGCAACGGTGAGAGCATGGCTGCCCAACGCCCCAAGCGTCTCTTGCTCCCCAGGGCTGGTCCTGTCGGCTGTACCCTGTCCAGAGTCCCGCCGGCCCTCTGAGCTTGGGGTCCCAGGGGGCTGCCGGCGCCTCCCCACAGTGGCTGGTTTTCTGCCTTTCTACCTCGGGCCCAACCGCAGCTTGGATCTTTTTCTTTTTTCATTTTTTGTAGTGGTGGTGGTGGGGGCACACCCAGCGGTGTTCGGGGCTTACTCTTGACTCTGTGCTCAGGATCACTCCTGAACTCAGGGAACCGTTTGAGGTGCCGGGGATGGAACCAGGGTCAGCCGCGTGCAAGGCCAGCACCCCCCTGCTGCACTGTCGCCCCTCTATCTTCGACCTCGTCTTCCTTGAGAAACCCTCTCCAGACCCCACCCACCACAGACTCGGAAAGTTCTGGCACTTCCTGCTCCGCTGCGAGGCGCTGGCCCAAGTGAGCCCTTCCCTGTGTGTCTGCACTTTCCAGAGGGAAGCAGGTCTGCAGCGGCCTCGGACTCCTGTCTGCGCTAAACACTCACTCCACGGTACTTCTGTGGACAATCGGAAAAACCGCTCTTAGCCAAAGGGGGTGGGAGAAAGGGCTTGGGGTAGTGGGCAGGAAGCTCACCATGGCATGGGGGTCAGGGACCAGAAGGACTCTGTTCTGTCCCCCTGAGGCTGGAGGAAGAGGGCCCAGCTCAAACCCGGCTGAAAATGAACCAACGAGGACTGGAGCAATAGCAAAGTGGGTAGCGCGTTCACCTTGCACGCGGACAACCCGGGTTCGATTCCCAGCATCCCATATGGTCCTCTGAGCACTGCCAGGGGTGGTTCCTGAGTGTAGAGCCAGGAGTAACCCCTGTGCATCGCCGGGTGTGACCCAAAAAGCAAAAAAAAAAAAAACCAACAAAGTCCAAGAAATGGTTGGAGGCAGGCCAACCAACTATGGGGCAAGGCAGGGAGATGCCCAAGTCAGCCCTGGAGAGAGGGAGCAGGGGAAGGGCAGGAGGAGGGGCCAGGGGAGTGCCCTCCCCCCCAGCCCAACACAGCCCTGTTCCCTCAGCGAGGGGCAGGCAGGGGACTCTGCAGGGGTTTCTGTGAATTACCCAGCGGTCACCCCACTCCGGGACTGACGGGGTCGCTAGGAATCACTGCCACATACTCGCCTGTCCCCTGCCCCTCGGCCGACCTCAGGTGAATGTGACGGTACCCCCTGGGCCTCCACCAGTGACAGGAGTCAAGAAAGCAGCCCAGGAAGACCGAGACACCAGAGGCCTAGGGTTGGCGCCGGCTGGAAGGGGTGTCCAACGCCCACCGGTGGCTGCTTCCTTCAGCCCTGCAGGAGGCCCCGACACACACGCTTTGCTCCAGTGGTGGGAATTTTCCGTGTACCCCGTACGGGCAGACAGTGGGGCAGGGGCCAGAGGAGAGCCCGGAGCCATAGAACGGCTTTGTCCACTCAGGTGGCCCCTTAGCCCCGCCGGGAGAGACCCCTGAGCAGGGCTGGGTGTGGGCCCCCACAAGTAAACAAACGAAGAAGTGAGACTGAGACAAGCACCTCTTGCTCCTCCGAGTGCTAACTCGGCAGCGCTGCAGAGGTCGTCGGGGTACTGGGCTGCTCTCCAGGGCACTGGCATCACCCACTCCTTTACTCTTTACAGACCCTCCAGAGAGATGGCAAGGACGCCACCAGCCTGGGCGTGATGTTGGCGGGTAGAGGCCGGCCGCGCGGTGAGTGATCGCTGACCTGCTTCTGGGAGAGGCTGTTGCCGGGTTCGGTCAGTTCCGTGGGACCCTGTTATTAATGGCTCTGATGGGCGTGGTGGCCGTTGAGGACAAGCAAACCTATTGCGGGGACCCTGAGTTACAGAGCAGGCCTCCCGTGGCTGCTCTGCTAGAGGCAGCCGTGAACGCCGATGGCGTCTGTCTGTCTGTTGGGGCACCCCCTGCTGGTGCTCGCGTTCCTCCAGGCAGTGCTCAGGGACGTGCGGTGCCAGGGTTGGACTCAGGCTCCCGGATGCAGAGTGGAGGCACCAGCCCAGTGAGCATCTCCCGGACCACAAGCTGTCTTCTAACTGACTTCCATTGTGGGTGTCTCTGAGGATGACAAACATCAACTTAAGTAGCAGATATTGCCTTCTCACTCAGCATTTCCTGGGACCCTGTGCTGGGCAGTGGGGTGAAAGCCCCGTCCAGCAGGCAGGGGTCATGGTCGTGTTTGCCGCTGGGGTGAGGGTACTGAAAAAGGGTAGGGTCCATTTGGGTGCTCAGAGCACAGCACCCACTGAGGAGCTTTGGGGGTTTGAAGCTGAATATCTTCTGAGCCCAATATGAAAAGCATTTAAAATCCCGTCCAAAAAGTGTCTGGGAAACAAACTGAGAAGGACAGAAGCATGTCATGAGATTGGGACCCCTGGCTGCGCCGGGTGCTCCGTGGCAGGGCCCTTAGCTTGCAGCAAGAGGCCCTGGCTCTGTCCCCAGAACTGCAATTTTTTTTTTTTTTTTTGCTTTTTGGGTCACACCCAATGATGCTCAGGGGTTCCTCCTGGTTCTGCACTCAGGAGTTACTCCTGGAGGTGCTCAGGGGACTATATGGGATGCTGGGAATCGAACTCGGGTCGGCTGCGTGCACTGTACTATGCTCCAGCCCCCACGATAACATTTTTTTTAAATAATAAAAAGCCCTCCCATTGATCATCGATTTGCTCGAGCGGGCCCAGTAACGTCTCCATTGGAGACTTTGTTGTTACTGTGTTTGGCATATTGAATACGTCACGGGGAGCTTGCCAGGCTCTGCCGTGGAGCCTGCGGCTTAATTTGACTCAACACGGGAAACCTCACCCGGCCCGGACACGGACAGGATTGACAGATTGATAGCTCTTTCTTGATTCCGTGGGTGGTGGTGCATGGCCGTTCTTAGTTGGTGGAGTGATTTTTTTAACTTATTTTTTTAAATTTTATTTTCATAAGGTTGTTCACATTAATTGATTACATTCAATATTTCAACACCAATTCCACCACCATTATTACGAATTTTCCCACCACCATTCAAGCCTGCCTGTCAGGGGCAGATGCTAGATCATTTATTTTCTATTGCCTTTTATGACTATCATGATAAGTATCCTGCCCACACGGCAGAGTCTGGCAAACTTCCCGTGGGGTACCCAATATGCCAAATACCAGTAACAATGATAGGTCTCATTCTCCTAGCCCTGAAAGAGCCTTGAGTATGTCTTTTTTAAAATCTCAGGGCTAGGAAGAAGGAGACATTACTGGCGCCTGCTTGAGGCAATCGACGAACAACAGGATGATCATGATCGTGATCGTGATCGTGAATATCATGAGAGGTCCTGGAATTCTAAAATTGTAAATGGTTGGGGTCCAGAGACATCTCTGTAGGGAGCTAATGCATTTTGAGATTCATTTGGGAGTCTCTGGATCGAGGCCGTTGATGTGCTGAGGTGGTGTCTGAAGGCAGATCTCCGGCGTGACAGCCAGGACCCCAAGCAGGCCGGGAGACAGGAAGACAGGAAGACAGCAATAGTGGCCTCAGTCCTTGAACATGATTTTTGCTTCTGGAAGCGCGTGGCCATCGGGGTTCCATCCGGAGTGGGCGGAGAGGGCGCCCCCGCTCCATCTGAGGTGCTCTGGTGGGGTCGGCTCAGCGCGGGGTCCAGAGGGATTTCTGGCGAGCTGTCGTCTTTCAGGGTTCACTGCTGAGTCTCTGGACTGAGGCCATTATGCGCTGAGATGGTGCCCGGAGGCAGTAAAATGGTCAAACCGTCTCTGCCCCTCCGCATCCCTCTTTCCAAGCAGAACTACTGAGAATAGTTTGGCATAAATGCAGTTTCTCCCCCTTCATCCAATGTGCTTTTCCAGGTGTCTCATTTCTTGCGTACTTAAAAAAATCAGGGAGTTAGAGGTCGGCTTTACCATCATGTATATTTTTTAAGAGATTTTTTTAAATTTATTTTTTATTTTTTGGGGTCACACCCAGAAATACCTGGGGTGACTCCTGGCTCTGCACAGAAATTATTCATAGCGTTGCTCAGGGGACCATATGGGATGCCACGGCAAACGTCCTCCCCGCGGTACTGTCACTCCGGCCCCCATCCTGTATGTTTTTTAGCATGAATTATGCACATATGTGCACACACGTCCGTCTCCGTGGAAGTACTGGAAGTACTTCTTCCTTTCAGTGTCACTGGCTCTTTGCCGACGGGACCGTTTATGTAGATGCCAGGAGGGCTCCCCGGCCCTCCCTAGGGACTCGCAAGCCAATGCACTGGACTTCACATTTGTTTCGAGAGTCTGTAAAGACTTCTTTGGGAGTCTGATGTGAGTTTTGCCCTCCTCCCCAGGGGAGAATGAGGCTCCATCAGAACTCGCCTCTGGTGCAGGGGTTTCCGACCGGCCTGGGTGGGATGGAGCCGTCTTTTAGGAGCCAGACTGACTCCAGGGCTGTGGGCCAGGCCACCCCAGCAAGGCGCCCATGCAGGAGCGCCAGGCGGTACGGCGAGCCCAGGGTCCGGAGGGGGCGGCCCAAGCCAGAGAAGGGAAGACCGGGTACCCGGCTGTCTGGAGACAGACCCAGTTCTGAGGGGGGCACCCAGTGAAGGGTTCATCGCGCTGGGCCCTAGGCTGGCGAGACCCTGTTGCGGGTCATGGGAAGAGCAGCAGGGGCATGGCTGAGGCCTCGCGGGGAGGTCGGACGCCGGAGTGCCACTCGCAGAAATAAAATGCGGGTCCAGGGCAGGTTGTGAAGATCAAACAGACATCACGGAGGGTCACTGTTGCCACCCAGGAGGCAGGAGGGTGAAGTCTCGCTGAAGGACTGGGAAGAGAAACTCAGGCCTGAACCCTGAGCCCCAGGCATCCCAGGGTCCTCCACTCCAGTGGGGAGCAGGGAACAGGGGTGCAGGGTAGGGCACCCACCCCATGCCCACCCCACGCAGAGGTTTTAAAGCAGGAGCAAGGCCAGCGCGAGGGCTCACGCAGAGCCTCGGACGGGGTCTGGAGGAGCTGCCGCCGCAGACGTGCGTTGCTGGGCTGAGAGTGAGGTCGGGCATGCAGGCTCCTGCCCTGCCTCCGGCCATCCCTGGAACCCTGTCCCCACCCTGGTCACTGTGCCCTCAGGCCCTCACACTGAGCTAGGACCAAGAGGGGTCCCCACTCTCCTGAGAACCCTGTGGGGCTCCCGCCAAACGTGTTACTCATTTCACATCTTGTCAGTTGACATGTGGGTCTACATACATATTTCACGTGAGGATCGATCATACCGATTTGATCGCGCGGGCACCAGTAACGTCTCCATTGGGAAACTTGCTGTTACTGTTTTTGGCATATCAAATATGCCACGGGGAGCTTGCCAGGCTCTGCTGTGCGAGCGGCATATGCTCAGTAGCTTGCTGGGCTCTCTGAGAGGGACGGAGGAGTTGAACCCGGGTCTGCCACGTGCAAAGCAAACGCCCTACCTGCTCTGCTATCGCTCCAGTCCCATTTATTACTAAAAAAAAAAAAAAATGTTTAGTGTCTTTTTGGGCCAAACCCAAAAAGATCACACCTGGTGGGCTTGGGGGACCATATGTGGGTCAGCCACGTGCAAGACAAACATCTCACCCTCTGTCCTGCCCCCCCCATCAGACATTAAAATATATCCACTGAGATGCGTTTGTTTTCTGCCAAAGGGTGGGTGACTTTATGTTGTTTTGGGGTCACACAGCAGTGTTCAGGGTTTTCTCCTGGTTTTGTGCTCAGGGATCACTCCTGGCAGGCTTGGGGGACCACATAGGGTGCCGGGAATGAACCCCTCACCGGCTGCATGCAAGACACACACCCTATCCACGGTACTGTCTCTCTTGCCTCAGGCAGTGTGGGTTGTTTATTTATTTATTTATTTTTTGCTTTTTGGGTGACACCCAGCGATGCTCAGGGGTTCCTCCTGGCTCTGCACTCAGGAATTACTCCTGGCGGTGCTCAGGGGACCATATGGGATGCCGGGGATTGAACCTGGGTTGGCCGCGTGCAAGGTAAACTCCCTCCCCACTGTACTATAGCCCCCAGTGTGACTTTGTTTCTTAAAAAAAACTAAGTGATAATCATTTTGTTTATCATTCATTTATCCGGGGGCCTCACATTGTGGTGCTCAGGGCTCGCTGCTAGCTCTGCCCTCAGAAGTCACTCCCGACAGGCTGGGGTTCCGGGATCTAACCTGGGTCAGCCACGTGTAGGGAAAGCTCCCTGCCTGCCGTCCTATCTGCCCCTGCCCTTGCCCAGGGATGCTTCAGTAGCTTGGTTAATGGGTGCACGACACTCCTTATTGTGGCTGTCTCCCTTCCGCCCTCCCTCCCCAGTGCTCTCCACCCTCCATCTCTCAGGAGCCAGATGGAACCCAGCACCGGCTTCTGCTTTTCTAGAACTTCTTGGTTACTTCCTGTCTGATTCTGGGGCACCGTAGGTCGTGGAGACCTGGGGTTCGTCTTGGCAGATGCAAGATCAGAACTTTGACTTTTTCCCCAGGGACGGTGCCAAAGACGGGCTGGGCATGCTAAGACAGCCCAAGGGGCCGAGATCGGGGGCCTCTCCCAGGTGAGCCGGCACCTGCGCCCCCAGGCCCTCTAAGCGCCTGCTTTTGGGGGGCCCTGGGGACTGTGCAGACTGTGGCCACCACGCTCCTGCACGCTGAGCTGGGCCTGCCCTGGAGCCTCCTCTGGCTGACCAGATATTTAAAT